CCATAGACTTATTATTTTTAAAAAGATTTTATTTTTATTTATTTGACAGAGAGAGACACAGCGAGAGAGGGAACACAAGCAGGGGGAGTGGGAGAGGGAGAACAGGCTTCCCGCTGAGCAGGGAGCCCGATGTGGGGCTCGATCCCAGGACCCTGGGATCACGACCTGAGCCGAAGGTAGACGCTTAATGACTGAGACACCCAGGCGCCCCGCCATAAGCTTATTTTTAGAAGGAAGCAGAATAACCTAGTGGTCAAGGTCTGGGAGCCAGATTCCTCTGAGTTGGAATTTAGCTCAGCTATTTTCCAGCTGGATAGCTTTGATACGTCCCTTACTCTCTTTAAACTTTGGTTTCTTTTGTGCATTAAATAGGGATGCCTACTGTGATGGTTAATTTTATGTGTGAACTTGACTGGGATACCTAGACATTTGCCAAACATTATTCTGGGTGTGTCTGCCACGGTGTTTCTGATGAGATTAACATTTGAATCCATAGACCGAGGAAAGCAGATTGCCCTCCCCAGCACAGGTGGCATTATCCAATCAACTGAAGGCCTGACTAGAATCACAAGGCGATACCCTTTTCTTTCTTGTAACGTGGTATCATGCACATTTCGTCATATCATGAACTACCTTTCTGCTTTCAGTTTCTATGACTTTGACTAGCTATTTCATATGAGTAGAATATACAGTATTGACTGTCCTTTTGCAATTTTTTTTAAAGGTTTTATTTATTTATTTGAGAGAGAGAGAATGAGAGACAGTATGAGAGGGGGGAGGATCAGAGGGAGAAACAGACTCCCTGCTGAGCAGGGAGCCCGATGCGGGACTCGATCCCGAGACTCCAGGATCATGACCTGAGCTGAAGGCAGTCGCTTAACCGACTGAGCCACGCAGGCGCCCCTGCAATTGTTTTATTTCACATAGGATAATGTTCTCGAGTTTCATCCACGTTGTAGTGTGTGACAGAATTTCCCTTTTTAAAGGCTGCGTAATATTCCACTGTATGTATATACCACATTTCCTTTATCCATTCATCTGTCAATGGATGTTTTGGTTGCTTCTATCTCTTGGCTATTGTAAATAATGAAGCAGTGAACATGGGTGTGCAAATATCTCTGAGATCCTGCTTTGAGTTCTTTTGAATGACATTGTATTTGTAATGTGCTTTTATATACCCACTCTTACCTGGCCATCCCATAGGTGCTCTTCTACATTTGTTTGCTTTTCCTGAACACAAGTGCTGCAATTGTACTCAGTCAGGGCCATGGATTCTGATGAACTATATCCCTGTGGGACCTCAGAATGCAAGCCTCGGCACCAAGCACCTGACAAACACACAATGTTAGAAGGAAAAGATAAACCAATTTGTGTAACATTATAAAATGAGATACCTAACTTTGTGTGAAGAATGAAACCATTTAAGATGAGCTCATTTACCTTGCCTCCACTGTAAAATTGGCTTCTCCTTGATTTTTGTCTTCATGTCAGAAGAAAACCCTTTCAGAGTTAGCTAACCTTCTTCCTATGATCATATGGCAATCATCTCCATTCCCATCTTCCCCTTTCTTGGCTTTACTGTTGGAGGGTAGTAATAAGAACTAACCTTTATTGGGTACTTACTATCAGGCACTGGTCCAAGTTCTTTTGTATGTTAACTCATTTAATCCTCACAAAAGCCCATGAAGACCTCCTATTTTTATCTACATTTTGCCAATAAGAAACTGAGGCACTGAGAGATTAAGTGACTTTTCCAAGGATATTCAGGTATATAAAGATATAGGCCAGGGCTTATGGCAGACAGGATGGAGGTGACCTTAGGGCAGCACTTGGAAGACACAATGAAGAATCTATCCATTGTTGGGGTCCTGTGCACAGATTTACAAGGAGTTGATCTGGGCTGCCATGGGCCCTGTCAGATGAGCATGCTGGAGTGATATCTGTTCTAGCCCAGCAAGCAGCTAAGTTAACCTCAGACCCCACTGACATTCCTGTGGTTGTCAAGAATCAGATAGTGTAACATTTTGATCCAGGAACATGACGGCATCATAGCCGCAGTGCACAAAATGGCCTGTTGACATCTCACATCAGTTCTCCAGCAGCCTGTCATAGGGGTTCAATCCTACCTATGTTAATTATCTTATAGAACTATGAAAGTTCCAGCAGTTAGGCCATTTGTTTATGTGCATTGGGCAATTTTCTATTAATTTTAGAGTAAGCTTCTTTGGGACACTCAACGGATTGACTTATCAAAATATTAGTAAGAAAGGACCATGTTTTGAAACATGGTTCAGGTCACTTGGTTTATAGAATTTTGTTATGTTCAATAAATCTGGTTGGAGGAAGAGACAAGTGTATAAAAATACAGTGGTAGGTACACAGAAAATTAAGCAAATAAAAAAGTACACTTAACTACAGAAAAAACCAAAAAGTACAAAAGGAAAGGAATGTAATTATTTCTATTATTTGGATCAACTATGAATAATACTTACATAATAAACACTACTGATTTAACAAAAATTATGACAACTATATTGGGAGGATGAGAGGAGGGAAGGTATACGGTAGTGAGTAGGTGGTTTAAGACCACAGGACTTTCATCTTTTTTTTTTTTTTTTAAGATTTTATTTATTCATTTGACAGAGAGAGAGACAGCGAGAGAGGGAACACAAGCAGGGGGAGTGGGAGAGGGAGAAGCAGGCTTCCCGCGGAGCAGGGAGCCCGATGCGGGGCTCCATCCCAGGACCCCGGGATCATGACCTGAGCCGAAGGCAGATGCTTAACAACTGAGCTACCCAGGCGCCCCAGAATTTTCATCTTCTATGTATGAAGTCAATAGATGGCTCTGAAATTGGTATATGAAGAAATAGCAATATAAGCATATTTCTGGAAATAAAACAAGGAGAAAGAGTTAAAATAGTTGTGTCAGTTTCTTAGATCCAGGTGACAGGATTCTGCCAGGCATGTTTAAGTAAGAGGGGATCTTAGTTCATAGAACAAGTCCTGGAACTATACCACAGAACTGGCCTGGGAAGGGGGCTGCTATGGCTGCCCCTAGAACCAGCTGCATCCACTGAGGTCAGGAAACTCAATCTGCTAAAACTAACCCCAGAATATATTGCCTCTGCTGTACTTACACCAGCAAAAATAGACTCTAGCCACCCAGCTGATTTCCTCACATTCTTTGCTTCTAAATCAAAGTACATGAACCTTACTCATATTCCCCAATTCTGTAGCAAGGGAGGCTGGGATTTTCCCCCTAATTCTACTTTGGTAAAGTGGGGTTCACTAATGGGGGGTTGTCAAACTATGGAGAGGGCACTATATAGTGTTTTGTCTCTTCCTTCTCTCACATGCTATGTCCCCAAATCACTGAAATTCTGTCTAAAATCCTTCATAAATGGTTCGTAAATCTGTTCACTTTTTTCTACTTTCCCTGCCATTTCTCTAGAGTAAGTCACTTCAACAGTTTCTCAGTTGGTCTCACTTTGTATGGTATTGCCTCAGAGCATGGGAAATAAGAAGCTAGAAGAGGGAAAGAGAGAGCCTTGGGATTTGTGGGTTTTCTAGAAATACTACCAAATTAAAATTTAATTGTAGACAGTGCCAAAGGCAGAAATACGTCTACATTGTTTCCAAAGAGACAATTTAGTACTTTTCTTAACCAGAACAAAACTCCCCCCTGCACCTTCAGGTTGCCTTATGAACCTATTCAGGAAAGCCATGTGGTGTGGGGTGGTGCAAACTCTCTGGACAGGGAGGTTAGAGTTCAGGTTCTGTGACCTTCTTTACTCTTTCTATGGTCTTGAGCAGCCCCATAGCTCTCTGAGCTAATTTGTTATAGAAGCATTAAAGAATTTCTATGGAATGATCAGCCATTGAAAAACACTAAAATTGCCAAAGTGTCCAAGTGACTAAATAAATTATGATCCACCTACACACCAAAATGCTATGTAGTCATTAAAAAGAATGATGTAACTCTAAATATACTAATATGAAACAATTTCCAATATAATCTGAGTGGAGAAAACACAGTATAGAAAAATACATGTAGTATGCTAGCATTGTGTATGTCTGCATGTCACTGTGTGTGTGCTTTTAATGGATATAGGCATATTTATGTTTGTAAATTCACAGACCATCTTTGGAAGGGCGCACAAAAAGTGGCAATAGTGATTGCCTTCAGATAGGAGAACTAAATGGCTGGAGGCGGGGTTAGGTGGGGATTCAGTATCTTTTGAATTTTGTTCTTTGTACTTATATTACCAATTCAAAGACTAAATACAGGGGCACCTACATGGCTCAGTTGGTTGAGCATCTGACTCTTCATCTCAGCTCAGGTCTTGATCTCAGGATTGTCAGTTCAAGCCCCATGTTGGGCTCCATGCAGGGTGTGAGGCCTACCTAAAATAAATAAATAAATAAAATGTATAGCATTAAAAAACAAAAGACAAAAAACCAAAAAATAAATGCAAAATTTTTTAAAGAACCTGGAATTAACTCCTATCTATGAAGGCTGAAGAGATAAAGAATGAGAGAGAATTAAATTTGAGGCCTGGGTGCAGCGGGAGCTTGGAGCTTCTCTGTTACCCATACTTATCTACATCTTCACTTTTCTTATTTTGTGAAGCATTTTACCTTTAGTTTAAATATTTACAGATCTATGGTTTACAAGTAGGGTTTTTGTTATGCCATAAAAAAATTCTCATATTTTCAAGTTTCTCTGCTTGGAATAGATGTATTATATTCTATTAAATATGCAAAATGTGTAAGTCATGAAAAGTAGAAGGACTTTCAATAGGAGGTTTTTTTTTTTCAGGAGTCTAGAACTAGTTATGCCTGAGAGTTTTATAATGCCTGTACGCAGCATTTGCAGTGGGCAGAATGCATGCACATACGTTATCTATCACTTGATCCTTTGCACAGGAGCTCCATGTGATACTTGCTATTCTCAGCTTTGTCCAAGATCTAAAATTAGAGCTAGGCTAACATTACATTTCACTTGATTACAAGTCTGACCGAGGATTTTAATCATCCCGGAGCCACACTGAAAACAATTCTCCCTGAAATCCTCTCTCAGCTGGTAGTCACTAACTTTGGGCATGTTAGCTTCTGCATCCACTGACAGTGGTAAGTGTTTTTCAAAAACATTTTTTCCCCATTCTTCACATAGAAAGAGGTTGCTGATGATGACTTCACTGTGTCTGAATTTGCTGGAATGTATAACTGAATTTGGAATTGAATTTAAAAGTCTCTTGTGGGGTTTCATAGTCATGCGTGTAATTGTTTTCCTCTGAAATACTGATTTCCCTCAAAGTTAAGTATTTTTTTGTTTGTTTGTTTTTGGGTTTGTTTGGGTTTCTTTTTTCCTTTCTTTCTTTTGCCTTCGGAAAGCAGACTCTCCGGGGTATGTCCTTGCCAAACTGTGTGCTTTTCTGTTATCTAATCAAGGTAGAGAACACAATTCTGTGTTGGAGGTAGAAATATATATATATCATTATTGACTTGTTTTCCTCGAAGGGAAATTGGTCACTGTTATAGGAAAGCTGATGGCTGAATGAAGTTCAGTGGCAAACTGAGGAACCCAATGAGCATATGAATGGTTATGTATGTTTTAAAAAATACACATTTACATGTACATACTTGGGATTTTAAAAAATGTTTTATTATGTGATAAACACTTCAAACTTGCTAGAATCTGAGACAATAAATTGTAGGTTGACTGTGATGTTCCCAGGGGTTTGGATTATCAGCATATGTATCCCAAGTTTTCTTGATGGCAAAAAGACCTTGCAGTCCATTTCTGTGGAAACTGTGCATGCTTTGCTTAAAAATAGAGACCATTTCCTACTAATTTTCTGCATTGGCAATTAATTATATATCCATCCTAACATTTTAAACATTTTTGTCCTCTGTAATAGAGTTATTCTGCCGCCCCCTCTCTGTCTCTGTCTCTCTCCCACACTGCATACTTTTAAGGAAATCAATACTTTAGAGAAGATTAATAATGAAAAGCAAGGGCGCCTGGGTGGCTCAGACGGTTAAGCGTCTGCCTTCGGCTCAGGTCATGATCCCAGGGTCCTGGGATCGAGTCCCGCATTGGGCTCCCTGCTCCTTGGGAGCCTGCTTCTCCCTCTGCTTCTCTCTCTCTCTCTCTGTCTCTCATGAATAAATAAATAAATCTTAAAAAAAAAATAATGAAAAGCAATATTCTCTACCCCATTTCTCTCTATCACTCTAGAAGTAAGCATTTTAACCATTTCAGGATTTAGTCTTCGGTAGTTATCTCTATAGTTCCTGTTTTGTTTTGTATTTTTTCAAAGGTGGTTATTATTCTTATCAACTTTAGGCATTATCTATGGAACTTCATTGTGAAAGATGATGCTTAAGTTCACTTACACCTCCATAGAGTTATATCCTTATTTTTAGTTTCTCCCTTGATTTCCTTTATAACTTGAAACAAATGCTTCAATATCTAGTTCTCATTCCATAAAATACAGTGTCTATGACTCCCCACTTTGAAGATGTGGCTACTAGTGTTCTTTCCTTCTACTTCCCCATGTCCTTCTTCCACATTCTATTAAAGTATTTATATTTTCGGGGCGCCTGGGTGGCTCAGTCATTAAGTGTCTGCCTTCGGCTCAGCTCATGATCCCGGGGTCCTGGGATCGAGCCCCGCATCGGGCTCCCTGCTCGGCGGGAAGCCTGCTTCTCCCTCTCCCACTCCCACTGCTTGTGTTCCCTCTCTCGCTGTGTGTCTCTCTCTGTCAAATAAATAAAATCTTTAAAAAAATAATTTATATTTTCAAGATGTATTATACTTATTACATTCTGTTCTTTAGCCATAAATAAGTTGTTCTTGCTTTTTTATAGGTTGATTTATTTAAAAAGTTGATTTCCATCACTCAAAAAGAAACTCTGCACTTTAGCAGTCACTCCCTCTTTCCCCCTCTGGAAAGCCCCTGGATATCACTTATCTACCGTTTTTTCTCTATGGATCTACCTATTTGGGACATTTCATATAAATGGGATCATACGTGGTCTTTTGTGTCTGGCTTCATTCACTTAGCACACTTCATTCAAAGTTTATCCATGATATAGCATGTATCAGTACTTACTCCTTTTTATGGCTGAATAATAGTCCATTGTATGGACATACCACATTTTGTTTATCCATTTGTCAGTTGACAGCCAGTTGTTTCCACTTTTTGGCTATTGCGAATAATGCTACTTCAACATTCAGGTAGAAATTTTTGTGTGAACATATGTTTTTATTTCTCTTGGGTATAAATCTAGTTCTAGGTATAGACCCAATAGAGGCAATACCACTTGAGCACCATGAAGATGAGGAGAAGAATTTTGGAAATAATATTGCTCATAATAGCAAAACTCTGGTACCCAAATACCCATATTCATTGGGACAGAAAAATTAAATTATGCCATAGTCATACATTTTGGAGATCATGGCATGTCAGTATATGAAATGTTTTACTTTATGGAGCTATATAATTTCCCACGATATGGATGTACTATAATTTACTGATCAAAAGTTATATTGTGGGATGCCTGAGTGGCTCAGTCATTTAAGTGTCTGCCTTCGGCTCAGGTCATGATTCCAGGGTCCTGAGATCGAGTCCCACATTGGGCTTCCTGCTTGGCCGGGAGCCTGCTTCTCCCTCTCCCTCTGCCTGCTGCTCCCCCTGCTTGTGCTCTCTCTCTCTGACAAATAAAATCTTTAAAAAAAAAAGTTATATTTTTTCCAGTCTTTTGCTTCTATGAGAAACATTGCAGTGAATAACTTTATAATATGTAATTTTAAGATTGAAAATATTTGCAACATAAATTCCTATGAGTATGAATGTACATTTATAAGACTGATGGACATTACCAAATTTCTCTCCATTGAGAAGAACAAATACTACCACCTTTAGTGTATGAGAGCACCTGTTTCCCTACACTGTTGCAAATTTCACTTCTTCTTTTCCAAACTTTATACCTTTCTATTTACTTCCTTTGCCTTGTAGCCATTCCAGTATAATGTTGAATAGTTGTGATTGTGGACATCTTTGACTTCCTGAATTTGGGAAGAAATAATTCAATTAATTGTGAGTCAAATTCTTTCACTATTACCAATACAATTTGATGAGAAATCAGTACAATTATTTGTAAGGCAAATAACATTCCATCAAATGGATCTACCATAATTTACATAACCATTCCCCTATTTGTACTGTCCTTTCCTTTTTGAGATTCAGGTCACAATCCTCAGTATTACACCTGCCCATTTACGATTTATTTTACAAGAGCAAATAATCCCAGTATACTGCCAGTTAACCAAATTCCAGCCTATGCATATAGCATCTAGATTAAGTAGATAGCCCCAAATGCTGGTCTTAAATGTATATATCCATTATTTAATCATTTTCCTAAACTGGGCATGTAAACTAGTTGCAGTTTTTCATTATTGTTAATTACATAGTAGCAAAGGAAGTAGACTTGGCTTCACTTTCCACCTCTGTCACATACTAGACATGAGACCTTGAACAAATTGTCCATCTTTTTTAAGGCTCAATTTTTCATGTGTACATTACACACAATAAAAGCACCCATGGTAGGGCGCCTGGGTGGCTCAGTGGGTTAAGCGTCTGCCTTCGGCTCAGGTCATGATCCTGGGGTCCTGGGATCGAGCCCCACATCGGGCTCCCTGCTCAGCGGGGAGCCTGCTACTCCTCCCTCTGCCCTCTGTTCTCCCCCACTCATGCTCTCTCTCTCACTCTACTCTCTCTCTCTCTCAAATAAATAAATAAAATCTTTAAAGAAAAAAAACGCATCCATGGCATAGTATTTTTATGAGGATTATTAAGTGAGAGATGATATGTGAAGTGTATAAAAATAGTCTTGGCAACATGGAAAGTGTTCAATAAATATAAGCTATTATGATCATTTCTGGATTCAGTGACCATTCTGAAACAGGTTTTTTTCTCCGCTACAATTAGGTCCTTTTTGAGATGGCATCTGTGACTCAGCGATTCAGAATCTAATGAAGTTGGTGACCCTGTGACAATGTGGAGAGATCATGTCAGAAAACGCAGTTTGTCCTGGGGCTGTCAGTGCTGTGAAGGAAGTTTGGGAAGAAAGAATAAAGAAACACAATGAAGACCTGAAGCGAGAGAAGGAATTTCAACAGAAGTATGCTTTAACATGTTTGTTATTTTGAGTTAGTGAACATTCACCATATCATCATTATAGAAAAGAGCACTTGTTAAATGCCTTATTGTTGAACTTGATATTTTTATTTACTGAGAACTCAAACTCTAACTAAAGGACACACGCGATTTAATTACGTGTGGCTGTGTGGGGATGGCTGCAAAAAGTACAAGTGTCTGTCTGTGAAAATAGTAGTTACCTTCAGGCCCTCATAGGAGTCTGTTCAACATTCCTCAAAGTTTGATTAGCGTCTTTTAGTCCACTTTTCAGTGATTGCTCGTTCAGTATTATATCCTGTAGATACTAAAGCGACATCTGGCAATAGAAGGTACTAGAGATTCTCACCTACTTGAACAGCTGTGAGTTTCAGCCAGGGTCCCTGTGGGTCGCCTGATTCCTTGATTTGGGCTATAATACTTAAATAGTTTGGCTCTCATTTCCTCTGCCTTCTTGATATCTCCCTATTTTCCTGATTGGATGTCTCCAAAGCATTCTATTAATCTTGCAAGAAGAGCCACTTTCCTTATGGATCCCTGTGATTCTCATTCACCAGGTCTCTTTCTAAATATTAAATTGTCTTTTTGTCTTGCAACATATATAAATATCGGACCATTTTTTTTTTTACAGATTTTATTTATTTATTTATTTGAGAGAGAGAGAGAGAGAAACAGCATGAGAGGGGAGAGGGTCAGAGGGAGAAGCAGGCTCCCTGCAGAGCAGGGAGCCCGATGCGGGACTCGATCCCGGGACTCCAGGATCATGACCTGAGCCGAAGGCAGTCGCCCAACCAACTGAGCCACCCAGGCGCCCTAAATATCGGACCATTAATAATGTTATATGTCAATTATATCTCAATGGAAAAAATGCTCCTGTGTCAGTTAACAAGTACCATAAAATTCAACTAAGAATGGCTTAAGGACCAGGGAAGTCCTGAAGCAAGGCAATCCCAAAGCCTGAACAGCTTTAAAGACTCGGTTTCTTTTTATCACCTTCTACTGCTAATCTCAGTGTGTCAGTTTGGTCCTCAGGTTCCCTCTGTGAGTGTCACAGGATGGCTGGTCCACTTCCAGGCATCACAGCTAGGCATCATTATGTTATCAGAAGAGTGGAAATGATTTCTGTTTCTTCAGGAATGAGGAAGCCTTTCTGGGCGCTTTAGGAAACCTCTCCCTCAGCTCTCATTGGCCAGAACTGGGTCATTTGGACTCCCTTAATCCAGTCCCCTTCTAGGGGAATGAGACTGCATGATTCGTTTAAACAAATTAAGATTTACACCTGCGTTACTTGGGGGAAGTACAAATGCTTGAGAATAACAGCTATTCTCCCAGTAAAGAAGAGGGGGAAAGGTTCTTAATCAGCAATTATTTTGTGTCTGCTCTCTGTAAAAACAAAAATCTGGATGGGGAGGGACCATTCTTTCCAACCAAAGCCAATAAAAAGGATAATGATGCTGACAGTGAAGAGGGTAGCAGCCATTTATTGTGCACTTACTGTTTACTAGGCACTCTGCTAAGTGCTTTATTTGTACTATCTCATTTAATCCTCTCAACACACTGAAACGGTGTCTTGATGAGGATTATTTTGCATTATGAGAGAAGGAAAACCAAAATAATGTTTTCTTTTTTAAAAATTTTTAAAAAGATTTATTTATTTGAGAGAGAGTGGGGAGGGGGGTGAGGGACAGAGGAAGAGGGAGGAAGAGAATCCCAAGCAGACTCCTCGCTGAGCAGGGAGCCGGATGCAGGGGTTGATCTCACAACTCTAAGGTCATGGCCTGAGCTGAAATTAAGAGTCAGATGCATAACTGACTGAGCAACCCCAGTGTCCCCAAAATAATATTTTCTAAACAAGATATGTTAACTTTTTTGGATATTTGATCTGGGGCTGGAATAGCACTCCACCGAGTCAAATACTCAGGCTTTTATCTTGTTGCTCAACTGTGCATGGCTTCCATTCCTAAAGTCACTTAATGGCCCCAAATGATACACCAACTGCAGCCAACATATTTGATCCCAGCTAGTAGGAAGTTGCACCCACTCCTACTTCTGCTAACATCCCAGTTATATGAATCATATCTAACTCCAAGGGAGGATGACTAAATGAAGTCTTCAGCCCAGTTAAATTTAGAGGCTCTATTATTGAGGAAGAAGAGGAGTATCAGTCTCTGCCACACATGAGTGTTCATTTTCTCCCTTTTAAAGATGGAAAACCTGAGGGATAGGCCTAAGTAACTTGTCAAAGATCACACTGCTAATAAATATGGAACTGGCATTCATACCTACGCAGTCTGATTCAGGAGGCATAATATTCACCTTAGGTCTTTCCCTAGATTGGTCCTTTATATATAAAGCTACTCTTATGAAATCTCTTATGTTTGTATTCTATAGTTATGATAAACTTGACTTCAGAGTACTCTTAATAAATCCTATCCCTTTTTAAACAGTGGGCAGGGCAGGAATCCTGACTTGCTTCTAAACTCCTGAACTTCACCTATTACACATGTTTAGTTAAGAACCATTTAATTGGGGCACCTGGGTGGCTCAGTCAGTTGGGCATCCGACTCTTGATTTTGGCGCAGGTCATGATCTTAGAGTTATGGGATCTAGTGCCTCATCGACTCTGCTTGAGATTCTCCCTCTCCCTCTGCCCTCCCCTGCCCCTCATGCATGCGCTCTCTCTCTCAAATAAATAAATAAATAAATAAATTAATTAATTAATTAATAAAATCTTTAAAAAGAAAAGAATAATTTCAGCAGCTTCACGTTCTCTCTCTACAAAATAGGCAAGGGATAGAAAAGGTTAAGGATGTAAACTAATGCTGCTTTTCTTGGCTAAATGTGGCTAAAGATTTATTTCAAAAAGCCTGAAGTTTAAACAGAAATTGACCCCATTGTCTTTTGATGCCAAGCTGTCTTGAAGAAATCAAACACTTGGGTAAGAGTTGGTGTGGCAAAATCTGGGAAAGCCTTTAGACTATAATAAGAGGGTTTCATAGGAGGTAGAAAATTTCTATTTAAAATTGAAAGAACATCAAGCTTAGACTAAATAATGGATGAATTACAGAACACTAGAGCTGGAAGAGACCTTAGACATTATTTAATCCAAACCCCATTGTAATGGCAAGGCCCACAGAGGTGGTATGAATTGCCCATGGTCACCAAGTTAAGTGATGCATTCGGACTTAGATCATAGAAATTTAGATCCAGAAAGAATTTAAGAATCATTATAGGAGATGGAAAGATACTAGTTGAGTAATAGTTAGCCTCACTGTAAACTCATTAAGGACAGAGCTTTTTGCATGCACAATGTGCAGCATAGCATTTGGCATATAATGGTTGCTTGATGAATTCTTTAAGTAAAAGTTTAGGGAATAAGACATCTAATTGCACTTGTCATAAAATCTTGTTCTGAAATACATAGATCTTTTTGGCAAGTGACTATTCAAATTAATTAAACCTATGTTCTTTGATAACTGCTTATATTTCTTTATTATGTATCATTCTAAGAGGCTAAGATTTCAATTCTAAACTTATTCTTTCTCATTTCTCATACATTAAAAATTTTCTAGTGTAGAAATAAAAAAAACTTTTGCAACCTTATACTAGTCATTTTCATAGCTTGATATTATTCTTATGTATGTTTTCAATGAACCAAAAATCAATAGGAATGTGTTTCAGAATGACAAAGGTTTTATGCATTTTTATATCTGAATAAAATTGGAATATAATCATATAACTTAACTCTGAAGTTGAACTGTATTATTTGCAAGTCATTATAAAGTTATTAACTATCTATGGATTAGATGTCTAATAAATGCAAGTTGAAAGGACAGTGAGATACCACTTCACGCTCACTAGGATGGCTATGATTCGAACCATGGACAATAACAAAAGTAGACAAGGATATGGAGAAATCAGAAGCCTCATGTGCTGCTGGAGGGAAGGTAAAATGGTACAAGCAATTTGGACACAGTTTAGTAGTTCCTAAAAAAAAAAAAAGTTAAAAATAGAGTTATAATAGGATGCAGCAATTCTTCTCCTAGGACTATACCCAAAATAAAGGAAAACATATGTCTGCATAAAAACTTGTTTACAAATGTTCATAGTAGCATTATTCATAATAGCCAATAAGTGGGATTAACCCAAATGTCCATCAGCTGATGAACAGATAAACAAAATGTGGTATATTCATGCAATGGAAGATGATTCTTCTATAAAAAGGAATATAATACTGAAACATGTTACAGCGTGGGTGAACTCTGAATAAACTTACACTACATGGAAAGACCACATACTGTATAAATATGAAATGAAATATGAAATGTCCAGAATAGGCAAATTCATAGAGATAGAAAGATCAGTGGTTACCAGGGGCTGGGAAAGGGAGGAATGGGTGTGGCTTTTATTTTATTTTTTAAAGTTTTTAATTTAATTCCAGTTAACATACAGTGTTGTATTAGTTTACGGTGTACAATATAGTGATTCATCAATTCCTTACAACACGCAGTGCTCATCACAAGCGCACTCCTTAATCCCCATCATCTATTTAACCCATCTCCCACCCATCTCCCCTCTGGTAACCATCGGTTTGTTCTCTGTGGTTAAGAGTCTGTTTCTTGGTTTGCCTCTTTCTCTCTCTCCCCATCCCTTTGCACATTTGTTTCTTAAATTCCACATATGAGTGAAATCATATGCTGTTTGTCTTTCTCTGACTTATTTCGCTTAGCATAATATTCTCTAGCTCCATCCACATTGCTGCAAATGGCATGATTTCATTCTTTTTTATGGCTAATATCCCATATGTGTGTGTATATGTATATATACACACATATGTTTATGCATATACATATATATGCATCTGTATATATACATACATGTATATGTGTGTATGTATATGTATTACCACATCCTCTTTATCCATTCATCAGTTGATGGACACTTGGGCTGTTTCCAAAATTTGGCTGTTGTAGATAATGCTGCCCTTTGAACTGGTATTTTGTATTTCTTGGGTAAATACTTAGTAGAGCAATTGCTGGATTGTAGGGTAGCTCTATTTTTAACTTTTTGAGGAAACTCCATACTGTTTTCTAGAGTGGCTGCACCAGTTTGCACTGGGTTGGGAGTTTTTTTGAATGATGAAAATGTTTTGGATCTGATAGTGGTGATAGTTGAGCCAACTCTGTGAAAATATCCAAAACCATTGAATTGTATACTCTAAAAGGATTAATTTTATGCTATGTGAATTATGTATAACTCAATAAAGCTATTAGTTAAATCTATGGAGTTATGACACTTTTCAAAACTTAAATATAGGGCTTTATGATTCAAATCATATTTATAATTCTTACAAAACAACTTCTTTTCTGATTTCTAGATACTATCGATCAAATGGTTTTTTTTTTTTAAGATTTTTATTTTATTTATTTGACAGAAAGAGAGAATGCGAGAGAGGGAACACAAGCAGGGGGAGTGGGAGAGGGAGAAACAGGCTTCCCACCAAGCAGGGAGCCCGATGTGGGGTTCGATCCCCTGAGCCGAAGGCAGACGCTTAACGACTGAGCCACCCGGGTGCCCCGATCAAATGGTTGTTTTTGACGGATCACTTTTTATATAAAAGTGAATGCTACCTATGTATGTTGTTACTGGCGACCTAAAATGTCTGCTCTCTTAGGCTAGTGCAGATCTGGGAAGAACGAGTACGCTTAAGCAAGCTAAAAGAAAAGGTCATCAGGGAAAATGGAAGAGTCATTTTGAAGATAGAGAAAGAGGAATGGAAGGTAAGCTTCATAGAAGTAATATTTGATTTTCTGTATTTTACGTTTTGTGGGAGAGTTGAGAAAATGATTCTGAGACTGTGTGATTAAGTCCAGAATAGTTAGAAATTCTAATGTTAATAATACACCAAATGAATTTGGGCAACATGAACAACTGAAAAGAAATATAACTTACATTTTTTTGGTAAAAACTCAGTCAGTTTTCTTCAACTCTGCCTAAACATAAGTCATTTGCATTTTTTCTCCTACTAATCCGACTAGTAAGCAACTTCTCATTTCCATAAAAAAGATGACCATCTGCCTAACAAAAATCATATAGCTTTTCCAAAACAAATGCCCAGCTAAAAGTCCACAAAATGGAATAGGATATTCATTTTTTTCGAGGGCTACTACCTGATTCATACTCCCTCTCATAAATATACACACACACACACACACACACAGAGTTTGCTTAATTACATTAGGCATGCTCTAATTTTTATAAAGGTATCTATACCTTGGGTCAGTGTTTGTTTTCATACATGTAGGTATAGTTAGCTAGCAGGTTATTTTCTCTTTGGGCTATTTTAGGTTGAAAGGGAAAAGGTGTAAAGTTCAGAAAGGTTGAAACTCTTAAAATCTTTATAAAAAAAATCTGTAAAAAACTTACAAAATATTTCAAAGAGAAATTTGAATTATTCACTAAAATGATTTTTTGTTTCTCTAACCACCACATTCTCATTTTCAACTATATATGTTCTCTAAAAAAGCCTAATACAACAATATATTTAGGACATTGTTATATGGGTGTGCACTATTGACCAAAATACATTATCTTTGTTTATTCTGATTGGGGTTTGAAGGTTTAGTACCTGTACCCCCAAAGTAAAGTTCTTAAAACTCAGAAGTAACACAAAGCACTTGGAAATATAACCCATTAAGGAAAAAATATTCCAAAGTTCTTTTACAAATCAAGTAATATTGCTACAATTATACTTCAGTATGACATGATACTAAAATAATTTAAGTAATATAGTAATTCTGTCATTTCTTTTACTTGAGTTTAGACCCTCCCTTCTTCTCTACTGAAATTGAATCAGCTACAGGAATGGCAACTTCATAGAACTGGTTTATTGAAAATTCCTGAATTCATTGGAAGATTCCAGAACCTCATTGTATTAGATTTATCTCGAAACACAATTTCAGAGATACCTCGAGGAATTGGTAAGGAAGATTGCTTTTATTCCCGGGTTTTTTACTGAGAATTTTTTTGATACATGGAATAATGTAGCCCCGAGTCTTGAGAAAATTGTAGACATCTAAATTGAAGCTTCCAGAGGACCCAAGTTTCTGGAATTTACAGAAGTGATTCAAGATAAGATTTCAAGGCAAGGAAAGTCCCTTGGGAAACATTGTATAGATTCTGGAAACAATGTGTCTTGTTCAGTTAATCCTCCTAGAAGAGAACAGGTTGAAGGCAAGAAAGAAAGATTCCTTGGATGAGAAAAAAAATCCCTAAATGGAAAATTGGCCATGATATAGGAGATAAAACAAGATGAAAAAAAAAAAACCACATTTTTTGCTTATAGCACTGATAAACCTCCTATCTTTAGAAGGGATAGGACATACACTGGGAAAAGGGAAGAACCTGGGAAGTTTGATTTGCCAGTACGAAACTGGCAAGTAAGTTATGCTGTAATAAATAACTGAAAACATTATTTTATATCCATCTGCTCTCTATCGTGTATTATTTTTTTGTAGGACTTCTCACTAAACTTAAAGAGCTGATTCTTAGTTACAACAAAATCAAGACTGTCCCCAGGGAAATAAGTCATTGTGCCAGCTTGGAGAAACTAGAACTTGCTGTAAACAGAGACATCTGTGATCTTCCACAAGAGGTCAGAAAGACATAAATGTCTATGACTTATTGTCCACCTAATACTGGTTTACTTCTCAACTGTGTGATTGCCAAAAATAACACTAATGAAGAAATGCTATAGATTTTATTTCAGAAAATATTTAGTGATTATCATTTCCTATTATAACACATATTTTTAATTAGAGAAATATCTATTTAGCATAAAAGATGCAGTACTGACATCATTTGTGATCTCCTTGAAGGCCAGAGTAAGAGTCTTATTTATTTCTATCTCCAGAATTGAAGGCACAGCCTAAGTTGTAGTTGTAACTTAATAAATGCTTAGTGAATAAATGATTATCACAAAGCACAGACAATGTGGTGATGGAAAAATTCTTTTTTTTTACTAGTTGGTGTTTATAGAGTGATCAGTTTTTGAAATAGAGGTGAAGTGGTAAGAAATGAATTCTTCAGTTTCAGAAAAGTGTTTCTTTGCTAGTTTCTTAGGCTCTGCTGAGTAAAAGAAAGCAATGGGTTTGCAAAGTCTTCAAATTTTGATTTGGTATGATGACTTGTTATTAGTAAAACCAAGCTGATCATAGTGATAGAGACACTTTCAAACATCCTTCAAACGTATTTAATGATCTTACAATGAGCAAAGAAAATTTCCAAGGTATTGACTTTGCAAGATGAAAGTTAAGAAACATAATTAAAACTCAAAACAAAATAGACTATTCCTTTCTCCCATTCTCCACTATTTTTGGTGAGAATATCACTTTTTTTCCCACACCAGTAAATATGTCACCAATTGTTGCTCTTGCAAGTAAAACATAGTTTCTACATTTATATCTATCTCATCTTTGAATAGTTCAACTTAATGAAATGTATGTACTTATTTATGATGAAAATGATGATCATAGGGACAATTTCTTTATATCTACAAGAGGTCCAATAAATATTTTATTTTGAACTTTCTAATTCTTGTGATTTTCTTTCTGGGATTGGTTCCATCACTAAAAACGCTGTATGAATTCGGGCAGGTCTATTAGCCTGTGTTTTCCTTAACTTTTTCACATAAGAAACAGGTTTTGCTGAAACAAATATTGAACTGAAATCTTGACCCTGGGATTATTTCCAAGAATGGCTTCTTTTTTTTTTTTTTTAAGATTTTATTTATTTATTTGAGAGAGAGAGAATGAGAGACAGAGAGCATGAGAGGGAGGAGGGTCAGAGGGAGAAGCAGACTCCCTGCCGAGCAGGGAGCCCGATGCGGGACTCGATCCCGGGACTCCAGGATCATGACCTGAGCAGAAGGCCGTCACTTAACCGACTGAGCCACCCAGGCGCCCCTCCAAGAATGGCTTCTAAATTAGCTGTGAAGCCCTGAACTCACCACTTTACATAAAGAGGTCTCAGTTTTCACATATGCAAAATAAAGACTGTTGTTATAATAATGTGAATATCTTTCAATATAAAATCAAAGGGTTCTAGTGCGACTCAGAAATCAGTAACAGGAAGAGACTTATGTCTCAGGCACACTACGCTGCACACTGTACACAAACATATTTATGCCAATTGAAAACGATCTTTCTATACTCCATTCTAAACCATATGAAAAATTTTGAAGTCTGATTTTGAAAAAGTACTTTATTCATGGCTTGAATTCTAAAGCTTGGACAAAGATTACCTACTAAATGGAAACCTGCTTTTTTGCATTACCCACAAAACACTGCATTTGTGGGTTTTTGTTTTTTTTTTTTTTTGTGGTGTTAAAGATATGGAACGAATCTTAACATTCCCTGAGATAATAAAACAGAACTTGCCTAGATAAAATAGAAAGCTTTTTGGAAAAGTTAACTAAATTCTCACATTTTGAAACTTTCACTACAGTGTTATATGGAAAGAGTTTAGAAATTTTGTGGCTTTAGGTCCATGAAAACTTTGAGTGCACATCACCCATCATTTCTAGTTACATGGTATTTCTCAACCATTTTGTCTATAAAATAGAAATAAGATACTCATCTTGTAAAGTTGATGAATAAACTAGAGTTGTAAGCATCAACGTGAATACATTGAGTCACTGATATTAAGAGAAAAAAGCAAGTTAAGGGAAGTACAGTATCATAATCTTCAAATAAAAGTACTAAATTTTGTTTATGAAAACATATAATAGTAATTACAGAGAAATATTTAAAAACATGTATTTATGTATAGTAATGAAAACAAGAAAACATGCACAGGAATAATAAATACCAAATTCAGGAGAGGGGTTCCCTCTGGAAAGGAAGAAGGGAGGAACACATAGGAGGCAGTCATAGCAACATATATATATATATATATATATATATATATATATTTTTTTTTTTTTTTTTTTTTTTAAAGATTTATTTATTTGAGAGACAGAGTGAGTGGAGGAAGGGGCAGAGGGAGAGAATCCCAAGCAGACTCCCTGCTGAGTGCGGAGCCCGACGGCAGGGGTGGGGTGGGGTGGACATCTCACCACCCATGAGATCAGGACCTGAGCCAAAACCAAATCACTTAGCCGACTAAGCCACCCAGGTGCCCCTGAATACATTTTCTTTCTTAAGCTGAGCACACTGGTGTTGGGATATCATTCTTAATAAACTTTTATTGATGTTTTCATTGAGAAAATAGAAGTACCAAACAGTAAATGCTATGACTGAGATAGCATATGTAAAATATCAGGCACAAAAAAGAAGGTTCAATAAAGAGAAGTATTATTTTGAAGTTTGGGTTTTCCCATATAAATCTCAAATGCAGGATGAAAGGAAAATACAAGCAAACACAAGCAGGTTCTGTAAGTGCTGGAACTTGGGTATTTGGAAGATAAATTTTCTTTGAATAGATGAGCTTTCTATAAGTTTTTCATTTCTCTGGAGGTTATTTAGCTTTATTTTTATTTCAAAGTTATTGTGGACGATGACTAAAAAAAAGCCCAAGCATAATGTGAACATTCCTTGATGTGAAAAAGCGCTACTAATGTGAGTGTTCTAAGAGTTTACATTGTGGACATCCATTTTGAAAAAGCTTGCTTGCCTTTTCAGCTCAGCAATTTGTTAAAGCTTACGCACCTTGATTTGAGTATGAACAACTTTACTACAATCCCTCTGGCTGTGTTGAACATGCCTGCTCTTGAATGGCTCGACATGGGGAGCAACAGACTTGCACAACTTCCTGATACCATAGAAAGGTAAATATGTAATTTTCTGTGCATTAACAGATGTGTTGAAGTCATCCATCATAAATAACAAAGGAGACCCCAAGCATAATCAATCACAAGAGACCCATGAGGTACTAAATATGCTACTTTTTAACAATATTTTCATTTACTTAAGTATAAGGGCTTTGGGAGAGAAAAACTGGCTCTCTGACTTCAACATGCTGACACGAATATGCCACACAGTAACAACATTACTTTGTGCATGCCAGGCCCTCTGTGGGCTTTACAAATGGATGAAAACTAATGTAGAGATGTAAATTGCTCAAGATCACAGTGTTAAAAGTGTGAACCTAGGCAGCCTGGCCCACAGTCCATGCTGTTAACCCTTATGCATACTTGTCTTACCCAAATAGGCATATTCATAGTTTCTTATTTTTCTCCTAACACTCTAGTTCAGACTAGATAACATTTATAGCTGTTCTTTAAGAACTCCTATGAGAATAGTGAAGAATTCTAAAATATGGTTTCCTTTCTACTACCACATGCTGAGAAGTGTATTGTAGGGATTAACCCTCCAATGTAGTTTCCCTAATAATCAGGTAACGTGAAGTCGGTTAACTCAACTGGTACACTGGTTAAAGGAGATGTTATGAAAGATGACATTTGTTTCATTTTAGGTTAATAAGAACCAGGGTTTTCATATTATGTATGATTAATCACAGAAATCTCTTTTAATTCATCAGAATGCAGAGTCTACATACATTATGGCTGCAACGGAATAAAATAACATGCTTGCCAAAAATAATCAGCAATATGAAAAATCTGGGTACTCTTGTACTCAGCAACAATAAACTGCAAGATATTCCAGTGTGCATGGAAGAGATGACCAATCTGAGGTAAAAGTTGTAGACACAAAACTGACATGTTCCTTTCTGGCTGCAGAACAAGGTAATATAGAGAAATTGTTATTAATGGATTTGAGTTCTCATTCATATGAATGAATACATTTAAAAATTTTTCCAACTTTGCAATTCTATAATTTATAAGTAGGATTCATATAATACTGGCCAAAATTATTCAAGAAAGAATTCTTGAAACAAAAGCCATACTGGGATTATGGGCTTTCAGGAATGCCCTCAGTTGGTGACATTTTTATGAAAATCGTCTTTGGAACTGCTAACAAACCTCATCTACAAATAAAAACCAAAGGCATAAAAATAGTGCTTATTTTCCTTCTAAATGACTACAGTGGACACAGGCAATTATGTTACAGAAAGAATAAATACAACTTTTTACTAAGTTAATTACTCTCAGAACTCCCTCAAGTGTTCCTTCCAAAATTTAATTTCCTGACAGAGAATGTAAGAGAATTCACATCAAATCCCACAACTTCCATAACAAAATCATTCATTCACCTATTCAGCAACTGCTGAGTCCTGTACTCGATGAAGGTACAGTGATGTATAAGACACAAGTCTATAAAATATGCAGAAACTTCACCATATTAAATACATGCTAGGGACTAATAGTTGCTTCTATAAGCTTTGAAAATGAGTTGTCTAAAACTAGTGTTTTTTTCCTTCTGGAAGAGAAACTTAAAGGATTCTTAGGATTTACTACATTTCACCAAAATGTTATTGAAACCAGTTAAAAAAAAAAAGTAATTTAGTGTATTATCATTTGATCTTTCCTCAGAAAAATAAATGTACACTTCTATGGCATCTATAAAAATATTGTTTTTTGGTGAACTGCTAGGTTTGTCAACTTCAGAGACAATCCATTGAAACTGGAAGTAACACTTCCTCCCAGTGAAAGCATAGATGAAGAAGAGGAACGGGAATTATTTGGCCTTCAGTTTATGCATGCATATATACAGGAGTCCCAGAGAAGAGCAGGTATGGCATTTTTATATAACACATGTCAAATATTTGGTAGAGGAATGTGTGTATATATATAGATTCCTTTATAGATTTCTCATTCCATCTTACCTTTTCTGTCAAATTTTGTCTTTTGGTCAATATTGTTGGAGGAAAAAAAGTGAAATTCCAATCTGTTCACAATTTTGATAAAGGCTTAGAGAGAAATTGTGAAGATACTGAAAGTTTTTCAAGTGGTGACAGGAAATAAATTTCTTTGGCCAAGGACCTGAAGCACAACCAAGGGAAGGAAGATGTGATTTTTTAAAAAGATTTTATTTATTCATTTGAGAGCGAGCGAGCACAAGCTGGGGGCTGGGTGGGGGGGCGGGGGAGAGGGAGAGGGAGAAGCAGAGTTCCCACTGAGCAGGGAGCCTGACGCGGGGCTTAATCCCAAGAGCTTGAGATCATGACCTGAGCCGAAGGCAGACACTTAACCATCTGAGCCACCCAGGTGCCCCTGAAGATGTGATTCTTAAAGCTTCACTACCTCATTCTATCAGTTTGTCATATATTTCAGTGTACTCATGAACACTACCTTCCCTGTCATTTCCTCTTTTTCTATAATCCACAAATAGCAACATAATATTTTGCCTAGGAATGAAAAATATTAAGAGAACAGATTTTTAACCAATAGTTAAAATGTGAGGTTTTGATATATAGATTTCAATCACTCAGTCTCAATTAAGAATTAAACCACTTTTTCAGTAAAGGAAAGCCTTTAACTTAAACCAAGATTATAAGAGGCCAAAGAGACAATTCTATTAAGAAAAACAATGAAACAATAGTATAGTAATAGAAATCATTTTATAATGCACTAAAACATGAAGAGTTTTTGAATCAAAAGGTCAGATTTAATTTATCTTCTAAGATAGCTGCTTTGGAGAATGAGTATAATCCAAGCAAACAAATGGCAGTGTTTTAGCTAGAAGGAATCATTTTTACCAACATCCAGTGGCAGATATTAGGAAATGGTCATCTAATCTGTGGTAGCAAGTCACAGAAACAATAGCATGGAAAATAGATTGGAGGACGACAAGTAAAGTTAGTTTGGGGCCTAGTTCAGGGTATAAATACATAAAAAACAGGTAGTAGATAGAATTGGTGATTGAATGATGGGAAATGAGAGGACTCTAAGATTAATCTGTTTTTGGTTAGAGCAACCGGATGGATGGTGATGCTGAGATGAGGTGGTAGAAGTGGAAGATAAGGAAATTTGACATAGTTGTGGGACATGTGGGAAGAGGTAGTTGTGTAGGTGAATTTGAAAGTTCAAGAAGGGGTTTGCTGTCCCTATAAAATTTGGCAGGTCAAGGAATAGCAATATACATATCCCACATAGTTACTTTTTTATGATATCTTAAGGGAAGTAAACAAGGTTGGGGAAAACAAGAATCTTGACCTATAGCTTGTTGAAGGGTAAGCTTATCCGCCCATAAAATACTTAGTACCATTGTCAGAAACATCATGAAGCTAAATGGGCACAGGACTATTATCAGTATAACTATTGCGTGTATGTGTATGTTTTGTGAAACATAGTTGAGATTATGCCTGTTGTAGAATATTTTTTATTCCTGGGCATAAATTGTTGAATGATGCAAAACAGACTGTATGACACCAATTAGCATTGCCTGACCCAGTAAAATCACGGAAATTATTGAATGATGTATATTACCCTTTATTTATGTTCTCTTGATTGGGCAGCATGAGTAATTAACTTTAGAAATAATCAAACTACCTTACTTTAATAATATTTGACATGGAACTTATAAAAAGAGAAAAAAGGTTACAACTTAAGCAGAGATAATTAAACCAAGTTTGCCTATTGTCATTAAAAATAGATTTGTGAATTAGAATTATTAACGTATTTATTGAGTACTTACACTGTGCTTGGAGCTGTTTTAAGCATTTTACATGTGTTATCTCATTTGTTACAAAACCTTGTGAGGTAGGTAGTATTATTATTATCTTCATCATCCTCATTTTAAGAAGGGGAATCGAGGCACAAGGAGATTAAGTAGTGGCCCAAGGTCATACACTAAGGTGGTAGGGCAGGATCTGAACCCACGCAGTCTCATAAAACACAGGAGATTAAAGCAGAAAAGCAGGAACTAAAAATGCGCTAGGCTTCTATTTTATAATTCATGTACTCATAGATCTATTTATAGGATAAAAAAGTTACCTAAGAATATCATTATAGTACCTAAAATTATTAATTCTGATCTTTGTCTTGGCAAAGGTACCAATGATTAAGACAATTTTCACAAATAAAGACAGAAATAAATGAAGGATAACGTGAAGACAGTAACAGTCCTTACCATATGTTTGGATTAATATTTGCTTGTGCATAGAAACTGCTTATGAGTTAAATAAGGCCTAAGTGTGAGGTGGTTTTGGTTTCATTATCTAATTTCCATTTTATTCCAAATTATTTTCTCAAACAGGGGAGAATATATAGTTGTGCTTATATGTACAAAAATGTCCTTTTAAAAGATATGATACCTAATTAACTTCAGAAGTTATTTGCAAATTTCAATTTAATTTGTGAATGAGGCTTATAAGTTATCTTTTTGGAAGTTCGAACTAGATAATTATTCAATTAAAAAAATGAAGTGAAACAGTTCATTTCCCTTGAAAACTATCTCTTCACTTTTGCTGTTTGTCATGGATAAATTCAGAAATACATAAATACATGTATGGCTCTGGAAATCTGAAGGTGAATTCATTAATTGATTATGAACATCTCTGAATTTCTTTGCATTAGGAGAAACAAATCACAATAGATTATCCTTTCCAGATTGGAATGGACCAAAAAAAATCCATATATAAGCCAAGTTCTCAGACTTGCCTTTGTTACAAATGGACAACTGATCATACATCTTGAACTTGAGAAGTAAAAAGTACTAAATAAATTTCCAAAATTAATACAAATAAGAAAGCTAATGTGCTAGTTGTGTATTGATGTGTTACGTGTGTTTCAGATAACCAAGTCAACTGTTCAACTACTTTACCAATCTCTATAAATACTGATGGATAATATAACTCAAGATGCCCTGCTGAAGAGAATTACTTTGAGAATTTGGTGAATTTGCTAACATTTGGACTTCTAAGTAAAAAACAAAGCTATAACCGAAGTTCAATGAGGCCACAACATTTTTTAAAGTTCATATCTCTGCTACATAAAGTATATTTTATGAATATAAAAATACAATTAAAAAAAATTTTTTTTGGTGGAAGACAGATGTTCACAATTTCTTTTCCATTAAGCAGTTGTTTCTGGTGATGAAGAATGATTTGGTAAAGCAGTTAACAATACATTTTCCAAAGATACCAGAGGATCTGTATAATACTGTAAAGCAGGACTGAATCCTTTCTGCTGTAAATACTCGACTCGGCCTTGGTCAATCAGCAATTTACAAAGATGCCCTATTTTCTTCTTTTCTTCAACAGTAAGGAACCTAAACCGAATAATCACAAAACGTCGTTAAAATTTGTAAAAGTTTACAAAAAATTATTTTAGTCACTTCTATTTATTGATAAGTTCCTAACTAACCTGCAATATACTAGGTGCTATGTCCCATGCTTCCAAGATATGTTTTATTTTTGCCACAATAAAAGTGTATTTCAATGTATTCTAAAATTGGATGGTAAAATGCATGTTCATGGATAGATTTTGGGGGACATTTATCTAAAAAGAAAGTCCAGCAATAACAAAACATTTCTGCCCCGGTGTCGTGCATTTCCAAGTAGTCACTTACCCAGGGACACTCTCGGTGCTTTCATCCGTGATTCTGCATCCCCCGTCATCATGCTCTTCACTGTCACCATTCTGCTTATCTTTTCTCTTTGTGGTAAGATTGGAGGCTTCCAAAGATGTTTTTCGCATCCCACAAGTCGCCCAACTACTCATTCGCTGAAAGTAGTGGAATTCCACTGCTCCAAGGCCTAGAGCCCTGAAATACTCTTTGCCCACATAATGTCTCCAATCACACCTGTGGTGACAACAGAGTGCAATAACAATGCCAGCCACAGGGCTCCACTTCTCTGGGACATTTTTCTCATTTCCTTCCTTGGCCAAAGTGTTAATTTCTTTCTCTGTTTTATCATTCTTTATGCGTTTGGCTAAAGGTTCTTCATTCCTTTCCTCACAACTGGCAGCATAGGTTTCAACCAAACATCGTAATGCAAGATCTGCAAACACAATTATGTGGCCCCCCCCAAACCACATCATCTTTAAAAATAAGTATTTTTTTACATTTATTCAGCAGTATGGTTTCTAAAATCCCAACAACAAAAACCTGCTTGGCTTTATACTTGTAACAACTCTTCCATGAATTATCAATTTTGTTCATATTTGCTGTTTTCTCATTAGCATCTCATTTTCTCTAATGATTTATTCTACTTCCCCAAACAACTGGCTGAAGCTTAAGGTCTACAGTCTGTAAAAACTTTAGTCCAACTACTCAACTTGGCTCTCATTTCTCCTCCTCTAGCTGAGGAAAGGACTTGCATAGAAAAAAATCACTGATCTACACTTACATGCCAGGGAAGTTTTGAGTTTAAGAAACCCAAAGAAAAGAAAGAATAGAAGGGAAAGGCATCTGCTTAGACTGATGTTAGGTGTCAGTCCTGAAACATATGATGTTCACAGCAAATCCGGATGAGCTGAAGAGTTGATAAGAGGGAGTCATTCTGTGGGAAGTAGGCCTCACTGAGCAGCCTTACAGTATTTATGCATTCATTCAGCAATTAGTTACTGAATGCCTTTCACGTGCAAGCTTTGCAAATGTAACGATGATTATACACATAAACTTCGAGGTGGATGTACTCCACATTAAAAAGAAAAATTTAAACTTAAAAGCTAAACAAGTAGATTTTTTGATGACTACGACTATTTCCCAGTGAAGACTGCTCTATGGTTGACAATATTTGGAAGACCCCAAATATATACTGTAAAAATGGTATTTCTTGTCTGATTAGACCAGCATGCTGTGCCTAGTCAATCAAAAACATATATATTTTAAAATTTTATTACCCTAAGATGTCACCAGTGACTATTAAATGACTTAATATTTCACTAGTAAATTTAATTCAATATATGAGTTGAAGTCAATAAACACTGGGAGAAAGGAATAGCTAATCTACTATTTCAAAAGCTATTGTTTTCTGACAAAATATATTCAGTCAGTTTTATTTATATTTGACTTTAGTAAATGATTTTCAGAAACATGAATAACCAGAAAAATTATTAAAAGAATGAAGTAATTTTAGAATCAGAAGGAGCTTTAACAATCTATTTTAACCCCTCCTTTTACAAAGAACTTAAAGGACAACGTGACATACCAAAGAAAGGGACCAGGAAACACAGCAAATTGGTGGTCAAGATCATTCATTCACTCACTCAAATGCTTACTGTTTCTATTATATGCCAACCAAAGTGTTAGCACACTCCCCTGTGCTCAACAAATTCACAGCAAAGTGGGAGAATTAGAATTATATAATAAAAAAATAATTAAAATACCATAAGGTAGCTATGTGGATGCAATTATGATAAACACTAAGAAAATTAGAAACTGACAGAGTATAGTACATGGGAAAAGTACACAGGGTTTCAGTTTGCTGACCAGCAGAGCTGCAGGCAGGAAGCGGCAAAGGCTGGAAAGCACAGGCCAGACTGACAGCCAGTCCTCCTGGTAAAGAGCTTGGACTTTACGCTGTAAGTATTAGGAACTACTGCAAAGTTTTAAAGGGAAAGACATATTAGCTGTGTAGCCAAGGGGTCTAAATATTAGTAATTAAAGAACAGGTAGTGGAAGGAGACCATGAGAGAAAGAAGGGCATAGATGTAGAAGAACCAGGAAAGAAGAATGTCACAATAGAGAAAGAAACTGAATTTCAAGAAGGGCAAGCAACTGGAATGCCTGGCTGGCTCAAGCTGAAGAGCGTGCAACTCTTGACCTCGGAGTCCTGAGTTCAAGCCCCACTTTGGGTGTAGAGGTTACTTAATTTAAAAAAAAGGGGCAAGCAACTGCAGCAGAGATTTTTCAGTAAGATAACAATAGAGTGATGAAGGGAGAATTCACACAGTGAATCAAGAGGGGAAAGTGTGTGGAACAATGAAAAATAGCCAATATAGATTACACTTCTGAGAAACTTGGGTCAGAGAGGTAAGAGTAAATGAGTGTGCTTTTTTCCCCTCCCCAGGACAGAACTGGCTTATGCCAGAAGGCTCTTATGAGGGTCAAATGAGATAAGGTACATGAATGTCATCTTAAAAACTATGAAGGACAACATAAATATACAATACTCAAAGCCATTTCCCAGCCAAACTGAATAATGTCTATGGAGGCTCCGAGTTCCCTGTATGGGAGATGATGAAACCAATAGGAGCCAGGAAGATGTAACAATAGTTAACATTCACTGTGCACTAATGTGTGCTAGACACTTACATGTAACCTGGTAAATTATGTTATCCCTGTTTTACAGATGAGATAACCAAAGCTCAGAAAGGTTAAGTAATTTGCCAAGGTTACACAGCACAGCTGAATTCCGGACTATCCAATTTCAAAGTCCGTGCTCTTTCTACCTTACCATGCTACACCTGACAGATGGACATGCTAAGATAAGACATCTTAGGTATTTTTTTTTTTTAAAGAGTATTTATTTTTTATTTGACAGAGAGAGACACAGCGAGAGAGGGAACACAAGCAGGGGGAGTGGGAGAGGGAGAAGCAGGCTTCCCGCGGAGCAGGGAGCCCGATGTGGGGCTCGATCCCAGGACCCTGAGATCATGACCTGAGCCGAAGGCAGACGCTTAACGACTGAGCCACCCAGGTGCCCCCATCTTAGGTTTTTTTATCTGACATTTCTTTTTTCATTTTCCTCAGAATCCTGGTACATAATCATCTTCTAGTGGGAGAGGTTTCAGAGTCCTTCCCACGCAACTTCTTGAAAAAATCAGTAGCTTTTGGGGTAAAATCATACAGTTTCCATAAAGGATTTGTTTCCTTTTTGGTTGAAATATAACCCAAAAAGCTTTTAGTCTCATATGACTCAGTATTTACACATAACACTTTTTTTTTTTTTTGAAGATTTTATCTATTTACTTGAGAGAGAGAGAGAGAATGAGAGAAGGAGCACGAGAGGGGGGAGGGTCAGAGGGAGCAGCAGACTCCCTGCTGAGCAGGGAGCCCGATGTGGGACTCGATCCGGGGACTCCAGGATCATGACCTGAGCTGAAGACAGTCACTTAACCAACTGAGCCACCCAGGTGCCCCTCCACATAACACTCTTAATTCATCCTGCAAAATGGCCAAAATAAGCAGATAAATAAAAAAACTATATATCTGATCTAACACAGGGCCAGTGCTATGATAAAGATTAATCAGTTGTAAGCATAGATGATATAAACTACTCAAGAGACTATTTCAAAGATTGGGACCATGTTAAGCTAAAATTTAATGTGTTCATCTAGACATTATTAGTATGTTTACATACCTGTTGCCACACCACACAGATGCTTTCCAATTCCTACCACAGGTAGTTTTTCTTTGCTTAGCAAAGGAATCTTATCTGAAATAAAAGGAAATGAGAACCAAGTTAGCTCTCCTGTGGGATAAGACATTAACAAAAAGACAGAACTAATTTAAATCTTTGAATTTAAGGACCGAGAGAGACTAAAACAAAAATTTCTCACTTTATAGCTGCGGAATAAGAGACTCACAGATGTAATGACCTGATAAGCAACATAGAGGGCTGCTGACCAGCCAGAATTAAAATTCAAGTTTCTTTCTTCTTTTTTTCCCTTTTCTTTCCCTCTCGCCCCTAGGGGGGACTCTCTTTCTGAGTTAAAGTTTCTTGACTCTTAGGCCAATGTTATTTCTTCTATTCTGACTCAGGACTTTCCCCTGTATAAGCCTATTCTGCTAAATATTATTAACTCATTGATAAAAGAACTCAAAGCTTTCCCTGCTAGAAGATTTATTTTGAACAAATAATACATATGATAAACATATATTAATAACATAACCAATATATATTATAAAATACTATATTCAGTATTACAATTAACTATAGTTTTTACTGTATCTTGATATTCAAAAAAAAGATATTATCTTAGCTTTTCACATTGTTTTGAAAAAAAGAAAACATTCATAACAGTCCTTAAAAGGTAAAAAAAAAAAAAAAAAAAAAAGGTCCACAAGGTAATGCATTGTATCACAGTTATGGCCTCCATCCCACCCTTATTTATTTTCTTTTTTGTAAGATTCTGAAATGAAAAGTATGCTTCCTCCTACAAATCCAGCTACAGCATCTAGCACAGTGAACAGTCCAATGGAAGTACTTAGTAAGTATTTCAACTTTTCTGTTGCTTGCTTTCAAATGTTAGTATATTCCATGCCAGGAGAAAATGGAACCAAGTGGAACAGTTTGCCTCTGTCAGGGAATATAGAAGTTTAAATTAAGGTAGTTCAAGAAACTCACCATCAATTAGGGTGAAGGGAAAGGATGTCTAAGAAAGCCCTTCTGCTTTATGCTTGAAAATTACCTCATTTTCTCTCTCCTTTTTCTTTGGGCTTAGAAAATAGAGCAGAGGAACTTCTGGGAAATGATGGTAGATTAAATGCAAATATCTAGTTTACTCCCTCCTAAAACTTCCACCAACATGAGGATAGAAGGATTTTTAAAAAGGTATAAACTCATAAGATCTGAGAGAGGACAAAAGGAGACAAAAGTGGGAAAGGCTGTGACTCAACCAAATTTATTCCACAAATCTTCAAAAGGCTCAAGAATTGGGGGGATCAGGTAGTAGAACTGAGTAGCTACAATAGAGAGTACTGGTGGAAAGTCTGTTTAAATAGTCAGATCCCCACCTTGGTGACTACCTGTTTCCCACGTGGTAGAAGACTAGACTAATTCTCTGGAGCAAGTAGAACAGGAGGACAGTGGATTGAGGGACAAGAGGAAGTTCAAAGTTGAAGTATGGTAAAATAGCAGAAGTCAGTGAGTGTGCATACTAATTTCCCTAGCTTTTGTTCCCCATTGGGTCCAGGTCCCAAGATGTTCGTAATCAGACCTTTACTCTCTAGGTAGGCGATCAGAAGAGTCTTCTCTGTGGAATCTGATCTGCCCAAGAGGAAAGATCACATCTTAGGCAGATCACCACAAAGTGGAGCTCAGAGTCAACAACTCCACCTAAGGACTCAGAGCTCTGAGTCCCTCAATCCTAAGAACACACCATCAAGGAGCACCAGATGTTTGAGGACAGCCTCTAAGTCAAGAGACCAAAACAAATGGAAAAGAACAAATTGGTGAAAACAGATTACGAAGGGAGAATAATTCTAAAAAAACTATTATTAATATCCCCAGAAAGATATTATAATTATAAAAAAGAACAAGATACAGGGCGCCTGGATGGCTCAGTTGTTAAGCGTCTGTCTTTGGCTCAGGTCATGATCCCAGGGTCCTGGGATCGAGCCCCACATCGGGCTCCCTGTTTCTCCCTATCCCACTCCCCCTGCTTGTGTTCCCTCTCTAGCTGTGTCTCTCTCTGTCAAATAAATAAATAAAAACTTAAAGAAAAAAAAAGAACAAGATATAACAATAAAGGTAAATTCAGAGAAAAACATCTTAGAAATGAAAACTATGAGTGGGACGCCTGGGTGGCTCAGTCGGTTAAGCGTCTGCCTTCGGCTCAGGTCATGATCCCAGCGTCCTGGGATCGAGTCCCGCATCGGGCTCCCTGCTTTGCAGGGACCCTGCTTCTCCCTCTGCCTCTGCCTCTCTCTCTCTCTGTTTCTCATGAATAAATAAATAAAATCTTAAAAAAAAAAAAGAAATTAAAACTATGAGAGAAGAAATTAAGTTGGGGAAATTTTAGAAAGTATAGAAAAAAGACCAAAAGATGTAACACAGAGAAGTCAAGAGAAGTAGAAAACCATCCCAGTAGGTCTAATAATTAAATCATAAGAATTCTTCCAGAAAAGGAGAAAAGAGAAAGTGGAACAGAGAAAATTATGAAAGAAGAATGCAAGGCAATTTCCCAGAAAGCTAAGAACACTAGAATCTCTAAATCAGGATTTCTCACCCTTGGTATTATTGACTTTTTGGCCCCAATAATTTTGTTGTGGGGAGCTCTACTATACCGTATAGGATCTTTAGCAGGCCTCTGGTCTAGCAGGCTCTCTGGCCTGTATCCATTAGATGCCAGCAGCATGCCCCCTGCTATGACAACCAAAAATGTCTCAGACATTGCCAATGTGCCCTGGGGGACAAAGTGGCCTCCACTGAAACCACTGCTATAAATGAGTCAGGCAAAATGGGTAAAAATATAACCATATGAAGGCATATCACTGAAAATTTAAAACACTAAGGACAGAGAAGCCCGTATACATTTCAAGAAAAAAGCATATCCAGTACAAGGGATCAAGATTCAGAATAGCACTGAACTTTTAAACAATACTAGTGGAATAGAACTTTCAGAATTCTAAAGGAAAATGATTTTCAACCTAGAAATACAAATACCCAGCCAAGTCAAGTGTAAAATAAAAGATGTTTTTGGATGATGCAAGGTCTCAAATTTATCTGTAATGCGTTGTTTCTTAGGAAGCTATAGGACTAGGTGGTCTGCCCAAAAAGAGTGTATCAACAGAGGAAGATACGGGAAAAGATGTGGAAAAAGAAATTCCCACTCAGGAGAGTGAAGGAAATCCCCAGGATGAGACTGAAGAGAGTTTTATATTGATCACTGTGCCCCAGGAACATGTCTGAAGCATACAGGGGAGAAGTCCAGTCTTGATTGGAACATGTCTGAAGCATAAAGGGGAGAATTTTTCAGGAAGACAGAAACTAACAGAATACTTGATGAATGTATTACGACAAATAGATTTTTAAAAGACCAAGTAAATAAAATTATAAATTATTAATTTAGCAAACAAAAAATTATACAGGAAAAAGTAATTTACTACATGGTCCAGTGATCAAAAATGAGGATTTAATCATTTAATACATATTAGAAAGATGAGGAATGGGAAGTGTCTGCACTTGAGGCAGGGCAGGGGTAGAAAATCTTCATCTTCCATTGGGAAAAACCGGTAGATAATGCTTGGGGAAAAAAAAGGGGGACGGGCAGCAAAAACAAAATTCACCTATAAGAGGTAAATGTGGTTGGCTCCGAAGAGAGAAACATGGCAGGGAGGAAGTGGCTGGTGCTGTTTTTAAAACAACTTGAGAACTTGTAGAATTATTTGACTCTTAAACACACAAATCTAACTTTAAAAAAAGCCCAAAAAAGAAAAACAAAAAACAAGGAAAAAAGAAAGGGGATGGGGATGTCTGCAGTAAACTCATTCAATAGATACTTCCTATTCTTTTTCTTCCCCTAAAATGATGAGTAGTCAATTCTAACCCTGCCACCCAGAAAGGAAGAGAAGTCCTTTAAATAAATGTCACCTTCTCCTCATTTCAAAACTACCTTTACACACTCTCAGTATGTCATTAAGTAAGTCTTTTATTTTAAATATTAATAAAAAACTGAAGTATGGAGGTCAGGAGATTAAAATTCACATTTTCACTAGTGGCTATATTTTTAGTTAGTCACTGCTTAGCAGGAAAAGATTTTCCAATTAATGTAAATTCTAAAAGGGCAGTATTGAACTAGATTGTAGGTATTTGCTCCTTTCTCTCTTATCTTTCTTATTTTAGTTTAAAAATAGGGAATGGGGGCACATGGTGGGCCCAGAAGAGTGATCTAGAAACTATTTAATAAATATGGTAGGCAACTTTTCAGTATGCTTAATAAGAATTCAACACATACCGTAAAAACGTGTCTAGAATTTTCAATGTCAGAGAAGTAATATATTCAGTTAAATAGTTTTTTTTTTTTTTAAGATTTTATTTATTTATTTGACAGAGAGAGATCACAAGCAAGCAGAAGGGCAGGCAGGCAGGCAGAGGGAGAGGGAGAAGCAGGCTCCCTGCTGAGCAGGGAGCCCAATGCGGTGCTCGATCCCAGGACCCTGAGACCATGACCTGAGCCGAAGGCAGACACTTAACTGACTGAGCCACCCAGGCACCCCCTCAGTTAAATAGTTTTAAATACAGCAATATATATATAATATAAATGCTGGGTTGCTTCACAAAGCTGTATTAATTAGTGGATGGAAGTTACTAGGATATGTTTGTATTAATTATGAAAAACTATAAAAAGGTACAGAAAAGGCACAAAGAGTATGACTGAAGGGAGTGTGTGTGTATGAAATGTGACTTCCACAGAGATGAATTATATTGGTACAATTTAAAATTCTAGGAAGTATGTTTTACCATCAGCTGGACAAAGAACTATCTCATTTCTTTAACAGTTTAGGTAAAGTCATGTTAATTATAGGCAGAAGGCACTAGCCTTTTTGGGGTGGGGGGAGAAGAAGAGGGAGAGAGAGAATCTTAAGCAGGTTCCATCTTTAACATGGAGCCTGAAGCCAGGGCTCGATTTCACAACCCTGAAATCATGATAAAAGTCAAAATCAAGAGTTGGACACTCAACTGACTGAGTCACCCAGGCACCCCTGCACAGACTCATAATTAAAAAGGACAAAGAAATAATGTAGGGACATATTATCAAAACTTTTAAACTCTTTCCTAATATGACACTTCCATTTCTAATTGATACTGAAACCTCATTTTTAAAAAGTTCCAACCCTAACTCAATTTACACTTAATCAGATGTTAGATATAACATTCTATAGTAGCAGTGCATTAATTTTAATTTGTTTTCCCTGAAACACTGTTCTGCATGACTGGGTTTCTAAGCAACCCTCAGAATTTGAAACTTCTATGATTTATGATAGGGCAACCGAAAGTTATACAACTTACTCAAACACAAATGTTGAATATCAATTTGAAGTCTCTCGAATACTGAATTTTTCTTTCTGTGTTTGCCATCTACCTGCACAAACAGAACACTGTCATAACAATAGTTTTTTATGTTTACTTTATGAAATTAAAAAAAGATTTCTATTTGTTTTCAAAATTCAGAGGAAATAATTTCCCACCTTATTTTTTAATACTTAAAAAACAGAATCACTAGTTAAAAAATTTAAGATTGTATAGTCTTTGATGAAAACTCCAAAATAACAGTATCATACATTTTTAAAAGGCTTGAAAATTTTATAAATTATGTATAATTATTTCCTGTTGTTAAGTGACTAACAACAGGAAACTTAACAGATGTTAAGTCACTAACCTAAGATTATTTGCCAGCTCCTTTGCCTTTGTTAGCCCCTAATATACTATTTTTGGTATATTCTATCATTCTTCTTACTCTCTCTGAAAGATCACAACCACCATTCTGATCTATGTCCATGTGCCTTTGACTTACAAATCGACACTGTGGCCCAGATATTTTTGATGAGCACCAGACACATAACTAGCCGTGAACTAGAAAGCTCTACTTCAACTGCAAACTCTTTCAAAACTGAACGCATCATTGCTCCCCCCAAAACTATTCTTCCTCTTCCTCCTTCTATATTCCCTATCTCAGATAAAACGTACCACCAGTCACTTAAAGCCATAAAGTGTCACCTGAAATAACTCCTCTCTCATTCTTAATGACTAATAAATCACTGAGCCTCCTTGCTTCCAAAATCTTAGCGTTTCTCATACTCTTTCCCTCCTCTCCATCCCCAATGCAACAGCCTTAGCTCTGGCCCATTTCTTACGTGGATTACTGGATAATAATTATCTTGTTATTAATTTCCCCACTTCAAGTTTCAGACTCCTCTGATAGAGCTTTAATGGTACTGCTAGGGTGAACTTTTCAAAAGCCTTTTGATTTTCTTCAGCAACTCTTACATATTCTTTCAATCTCCTCTCAGCTGTCACTTCCACCAGGAAACTTTCCCTGGCCCACACTACACTGAGGTTGGTGTTCTATCTTCATGCTCCTATGGCTTCTGGTACTTACCATTATCATAAGAGACTTAGCATATGGAACCAGAATACTCCTAAGTCTGCCCCACTAGATATAAGCTTCTCAAAGACAAGAACTAAATCTTGGTCCATAGAATCCCCAGCATGTAGCAGGATAAAGTCAAACTCCTTCCCTTGGCATGAAACAGGACACCTTCCAGTCTAGCCACGCTCTCCCATCTCCTCACCAGTGAACTCTACTTGGGACCATGCATTCCCATCACACAGAAGTGTTTCCATGTTTCCCTGTTGTTTCAGGTATTTGGTTACACTGTTCCTCAAATCCTCTATCTAGAAAACACCAGTTCTCCTTTCAAAATAGAATTCAGGCATCACCTTTTCGATGTAGCCATTTGCATCCTTTCCCTGCAATAAAATATGTCACTCCCTCTTTTGAAACCATACTGTACTCTGTGCAGATTTTTTTCATACTTTGATACTTTTCTATAATCATTAATTTGCCTGTCTCTCCTTTCTAAATATCAGTAATAGAGCATAGGGACCTTGTCTTGACTTTATCTACCCACTGTCTGTCATGGTACCTAATGGTATGCTCAATAAATATTTACTGAATGAATAGTTAGTAGGTGGCACAGGCAGGTTAGAACCCAAGACTTTTAACTCCTAGCTTGAGCTTGGCCCTTTCCACATATTTTCTTGTCTCTGCAAATAATTTTAAGAACTCAGCTCAATGGGCTATTAAAATTTAGATTAAAAAATTTATCTTCAGTTTATCAATATAATTAGAATAAAAAGAATAAAAAGCCATATCAAATCAACACCAAAAAATAATTTTCTTTAAGAGACATGTTTCTGAGTATCATTCTATTTTTAACAAGAAAAGTGCAAACAAAGTTTGGTTACTAATACACTGCCATGATTTCACTTACCTTGAATCTCGTGGTCACCTTTTCTACTAGGATGAAGTGAACTTTCTCAGCATCTTTTAATGCAATATCAACCCAATGAGACAATTTTCCCTTTCCTGCTCCAAACTCGACAAAGCATCTTCTTGGACCAAGTAACTTTAATTTTTCAATGTTACCTAAAATAGAAGCCTGCAAACTTCACAAGATTATTTTATAAACTAGAGCGAACACATTTGGCTTGAATGGGAAAATAGCAAGGTAATTTCTACAAAAGGCAGCATGTGCACATTGATAATTTTTGTTTGGCTTTAAATTTTTTCCCTTGCTTTGAAATTTCTAACACACAATACTCAGAACCATATCCATGCCAAAAGTTTTTAATATATGTTTACACATACTTTTTGAAATGGAAAGATTCTGTTCCCCGTAAGATAAACTAAACAAAATCTAAGAACTGTATTTAGAAAGAATGTTAGCTTTTGACAAATGAAAAAAGGGCAATTTTAGTATAGTTACTATGGCCTAAACATACCTGCTGTTTCAGGTGTTTGGTTGCAGAATCACCATTTTTAGGGTCATTAAGGGCATCATGCAATGCTGGATGGGACATAATTTGATCTTTAAGTGTAGAGTTCAAACCTGTGCCAAATATAAGCACAATAGCTTAAGCAACCAAACATGAAACCGTGGGGCTCTGAACAATGGTAGTAACATCTTGTTAACCACACTTGTATCACTCATGTGGCACCTAATTATTCTAAAAATTTTAACTTACAACTGTAGGCACACTTACCTTCACTTGCTTTCCTCAATTTCTTAATTAAGTTTTCCAACTGCTCTTCAGAGAGAGAAGAAATTGGAACCTATATACAAAAGTGGGGCATCAGCTTGTCTGGGAACTAACCATCACTAATAATAAGGGTTCTATAGGAAAATGTATTCTAAATTTAAAACAATTAATTTATTCTAACAAAAATTGGAACACAGCTTATTCACAGAAATAGTTCACAGACACCTTTTAAATAAAAATTAAATATTAAGTCAAGTACTTACTAACTGTTCAGGTATTTCTGTTCCATCTTTTAAGCCTGCGTTAATATCTTGAATAAAGAAGTCCTTAATAAAAACAAAACCACAACAATACTGTTATTAATGTGAAGAGCTCACAAAAATCAAGGTGAAAAACTGGTTCTTCCCTTCTTCCCATACTCTGTACCCACCATCCTCCCTTTCTCCCATTTATGAATTAAATAATTACTGAGCACCTACTGTGGTCCTTAATTTGTTTTAGTGCTGAGGACTCACCAGAGTAGAGAACAGAAAAGACAAAAATCTCTATGTTTATGAATCATATATTCTAGTGAGTTGTTATTTGAATAAACATTTATAGTCTAAAGAAATTTGTTTGTAATTTTTATTAACGTTTTTACCTGCCTATAGCATAGACTTAGGACTCTGTCAGTTTTGCTTACGGTGTTACAGTAAAAACCACAAAGTACCAACTACACATGGCTGTTTATCAGACAGGCAGCATGACCAAAAATAGAGATAAGATATGATATTATAACGGTTTAGGTCTGATTTCTTCTATTTTAAAATTCTGATTAAAATAAAAAATAGAAATGTACTATGACACTATGTTGTTTATATTAACATAGTAAGATCTTTCTAGTGTATCTTCAGAGAGAAAGATTCAACGTAAGTATCTAGATCAGCACTGTCCAACAGAACCTTCTGCAATGATGGAAATATTCCATATCTTCCCTGGAGAACATGGTAACCACTAGTTTTGAAATTCTGCTAGTGTGACTGAGGAATTGGATTTTCAATTTCATTTTAATTAGTTCAAATTTAAATAGTTACACATGGCTAGTGGTTACCACATTGGACCATGTAGATATAGAAGAATAAAATAATACTATTTCTACAAACCCTGTTCTAAAAGTAAAAACTACTCCTGGGACTTTATGCATACTAATGGACTTTTGTTATGCAGAAGGGTAACATGCGGACTGCGTGTTGCTGCCTTTACTTATATGAATAAGGAAACTGATGATTAAGCGGAACAGGTGAAGACAGCAGGTATTATAATGTTCTGTTGGGTGACTGGCAAAACTATGATAGAAAATTAGCTACAACTATTATAATTTGATGTACTCTTAGTTTAAAATGGTTGCCAAGAGTGCTCCAGGTAAGTTGTATTGTAGACTAAATTTTTAAATGTGAAAACTATTTATTTATTTATTATTATTTTTTTGTGTGTGTGAAAACTATTTATACTGGAGAAACTTATCACCAATTTACTTTCATTTGGTATGCAGAATTTTTAAAAGATTTATTTATTTTAGAAAGAGAGTGAGAGTGAGTGGGGGAGGGGCAGAGGGGGAGAATCTTCAGAGAGACTCCCCACTGAACATGGAGCCAGACTCGTGGCTTGATCTCACGACCCATGAGATCATGACCTGAGCCAAAACCAAGAGTCACATGCTTAACCGACTGAGCCACCCAGGTGCCCCTGGGGGGTATTCCATTTTTAATAAATTCACCTCTTCTCTCAAACTTTTCCCAGAACATGTATTCCACCTGTTTGCCTTAACTAAAACCTGGCACTTAGGTAAATTAGCTAATCTCCATGCATACTTGAAAGTAAAGGCAACATTCTTTCTTTTTACTAAGGGGCTATCTGGGGTGGTCATCTTTTTTCTTCTACAGATCTTAATGTAAAAATACTTCCTGTTAAGCTTATGTCATTTGACCTAAGCTGGTTCTCAACTGGAAGGCATTTGGAAATGTATGCGGCTACTTTATTGTCAAAATGACTGAGAGGTGCTATTGGGAGACAATTCTCCATGGGTCTCTCAATTTTCTGCAAGTGTTAGAAGCAAGACACACTGACAACCTTTGTTCCAGACTCTCTTATCAAGGACATTTGTATACGAAGCAGTCTTGGAAGACAGAAATAGTGTCTCCCAGAGCAGATCAGGCCTGTACAGCATAATAATAAAGAAATGTCTACTTATGGAACAGAGGTCAGGCAGGTTTCCTTACTACCCATTTTATTATTTTTTAAAAGATTTTATTTATTTATTTATTTATTTTAGAGATAGCGAGAAAGAGCATGCATGCACAAGGGGGGAGGAGTTGAGAGGGAGGGAGGGGGGAGGGAGGAGGGGAAAGAATCTTAAGCAGACTCTGCACTGACCACGGAGCCTGACGTGGGGCTCGATCTCATGATCCTGAGATCATGATGACCTGAGCCGAAATCAAGAGTCGGACCCTTAACTGACGGAGCCACCCAGGAGCCCCTATTATTTATTTAAAGATTCATTTATTTGAGAGATAGAGAAAGAGCATGCATGTGAGTGGGGGCTGGGATAGAGGGAGAGAATCCTCAAACAGACTCCCCTCTGAGCACAGAGCCCAATGTGGGGCTCGGATCTCATGACCCATGAGATCATGCCCTGAGCTGAAACCAAGAGCCAGATGCTCACCCAACTGAGCCACCCAGCTGCCCCTTTACTGCTCATTTTAAAAGAAATGTATTTCCTAAACTTGGGGTTCTTCAGCTGTGACATAAGCTATGCACAAAATTGTGCAGCATTCACCTAGGCCCTGTTGACTCCATGGACCTTAAGGAACAAGGGGAATCGATGCAGGCAAGAAGCCCATGTTACTTGCTAAGCAGTGAGTAATGAAGTCCTTTGTCTCTGACCTAGGAGTCTCTTCTGCCAGCAGCCACAAACCTGTGGCAGGCTAATTTGTTAGCTTGAAAATAAGATTACACTTCAGATCCTTCATATTCCTCACAAGTGCCTTTGCCATTTGCTGCTCAGAGGCCAGGAATACTAAATCCAGGGATCCTTTGAAATACACAGGACATGCTTCCTCTCTTGAAATAAAAGCCCAAATCTCCAAAATTGGTCATAAAACCCACATAATCTGGCCTGAATCCCAGAATGAAGACACAAACCCAGAGCTGAAGCTGACCCATAATGGCCCACAGATAACATATAATGTAAGAAAGAAACTCACTTTAAAAAATTTTGTTTTCATTAGGGCTGGTTGCTATCCAACAAAATCTTATGAAATCTAGAGATATATGGCAAAGTATTCTTTTTAATGTCTTTTCTTTTTAATCACCTGACATTATACATATATTTATTTGACTTTTTGGTTCTCTCTCCATGGACGTAAACTCCACAAAATTCTTTTGTTTTCAGTTGATCCTCAATACCTAAAATATATAGGTATTTAATGTTTAATGTTACATGAGTAAGGAACACTAAATGAAGCTACTATGCATATATATAAATTAATGTCACATCAATTGCTACATGAAAGAATAAGTGGCTACCTAGTGGCCAATGCTACCCGCTTTTGTAATCTAGATGTTCTTGCTGATATTAAAATGTTCATTTAATGTTAAAAAAAAAAAAAAAGAAATACACAGGACATGACTATCCCACTTGAAATGCCAAAAGCCCACTGAGGATAAGAGCAGCTCAGCCTTTGATGTCAGTGTCACCTAGAGTCTCATACTCTATTCTGTGGCTATCTCTTATCTCATCTTCACTCAGCTCTCCCCTTATATTCTATACACCAATCATGTGCAATGCCCAGTCCCAGATAAAGCTATCAACTCTCTCACTTCTAGGTACTTACATATGTGTTTTTTTCCCACTTGTCTGGCTGGTTCTCCTCCCACCGCCCCTCCCCCTTTTTAAAAGGGGGGGGGGCCGAAGGGGAGTGAGAGAATTTTAAGCAGGCTCCATGCCCAGTGTGGAGACCGACTCGTGGCTTGATCTCATAACCACGAGATCATGATCTGAGCTGAAATTGAGTCGGACACTTAACCAACTGAGCCACCTAGGCGCCCTTAGCTGATTCTCCTCTGACCCGTAGGTCTCATTGTATGACACTCCTTCAGAGAAGCCTCCCTGACTCCTTCCCCATCTCTCTCATCCCCTATTTCTCCAAAAAAGGGTTAGGTTCTCCTTTCTTCTTTCATAGCACTCTGTATTTAATCAATTTTAAACACATAATACTGTATTTTTTATCTCTCCCAAGACTGTAATGTTCTTATAGGCAGGGTGCTTGGTACGATGTCTGGCATAAGTGCTCAGTATTTATTGAATAAACAAGTTCCTCCCCCACCCTTCCAATCTCTTACCCTGGGTAACTTAAAAATCCAAGGCTTTACCTATGACTTGTATGTATTTGACTTCCAAACTAACCACTCTACTGACTTGCAGACTCACATATCCAACTCTCAGCTTTTAGTCATCACGTTTTGATTCTGCTACCTAAATAATTCTTGTATTTATTCCCTAACCTTTCCATTCTCTTTCATTTAGTCTCTTATCATGTCCCACCTGGATTTCAGCAACAGCCCCTAACTAGTCCTTCTAATTCCACGCCATCTTCCCACACTGCTCTGAGAGAAAGTTTTTTAAGAGGTAAATCTGACCACACCGTTCTTTAGCTTAAAATCTTTCAGGGGTTCCCCATATCTTTCAGAATAAAGTCCGAGTTCTTTGAAAGACTCAATGTGGTTTCCCAGTTTCTGCCTTTGTGAATATAGTTCTTCTCACCTACAAGGACTCTTCTTCCTTTTCTTTGCCAAATCAAGACTGAGTTCAAGTGCTATTCCCTCTGGAAAGCTTTTCTTGACCACTTGGATATAATTTTAATTTTTATACAAGTACATGCTCTTATGACATGTGTAGTTACTTCTTTCATTGAACTTATTAAGATCCATTATTTACAAGTTAACTTATCAGTTTCAAATAAACTCCTTGAAGGCTGGGACCATATTTTATTGAAATAAATTTAGTAAGCACTCAGTAAATATTTTGAATAAATTGTGAAATTACTCTCTAAACAATACACTTGTTGCATAAAATTCTATTCTCTGAATTAGGGTTATAAGTGGATTCACGGTCTGACGTCCTATATATATACTCAAATGCATTTACCACATTCAAGCCTTCTGAGGCTAGGGTCTTGTTAAGTATTCACATTTGTAATCAACTAAGTATATATAAGCATTACATACCACACATTTCACCTTTCAGTTTTACTGATCAAACACTTACAGGTTTTGGCTTCTCTCTTGAGTTACATTTTTTCAAATGCTTTGCTAGTTGATCTTCATATACTGTGCTAAATTTAAAGAGAAAATTATTTAAAATAAGACCTGTGATAATTATTCTTTCTAGCATAGAAAAACCCTTAACTGACCCATACTTACTGTTTTGGATCTAAAGGACAGAGAATTCTTTTCCGAGCATTTTCTTCCTAATAAAGAAAGATGATATATTGACTTGGATGAAAAATATCAAGTTCATTGCTTACAGATACTAGATATAACGTCAGTGTAATCATAAGTTTATGCATTCCCAAAACGAGGTAAGGAAACCTTAAAAGGACATTAGTAAAACATTGGTACAATAAGGTCATAGAGTTTAACAACAAAAATCTCCAAAGTAGCTAGTTTTTGTATATACGAGCAAAAATGCTTTGGACAACAAGGGTTTATAGCTTCAAATAGGTTGTAGAGAAGGCCTACATATGGAATTTCGAATCTAAGATAGCATCGACTATAATTTGCACTATTATTTTATAATAATATTATTTTAAAATAATATTTTACAGTGTCTCTTGGGGGGCAAAATCACCCTCAGTTAAGAACCAGCAGGTAAAAATGTGTACAAGTGGTCTCAGCTATATATGATACTTAAGACAAAAAGATGGAAGCATAACACCCAATTAGATCATAAATCACAGATTCAGTAGGACACCCACAGTTGAAAACCAAATCGTGCCATATAAAGTGTTTCCCTTGATGTTCTGCAATCTTTCTTCAAGGGACCAATAATAACATTTCTTCCTCTCCAGGAATACTGATCAGCTTGTAAGGAACTAGACATATTCTACCACTGTCACCAACTGCATTCATCTCTGAGATGTTTCGCTAAGGTCAAGTATAAGGTCTTAGAGTGAGAACAAAACTTTCTCCTACCATAAATCTCACTTTTAAAAATTTTATTTATTTAGTTATTTTATAAATCTCATTTTTTGATCAAGAAATGTTTGCTGGTCCCCTCAAAACCACTCAATACAACTGTAGGTATACTTCAGAGAGTTCTCACCATAAGACACAGGTCTCCCACATTCCAAAACAAGTATATATTTGTTTCCGTATACTTCACTCTAGGCAAGTTATCAGTTTATCAAAATATGAAGTAGAGTTATGGCTATGATGGGCAGTAGCAGATGAAGGAGGTCTCGGGGCTGATCTGTACTGGATACTGCCCAGGATAAAACATCTAAGGAAATAATGTGAATAATACTGGACATGGAGAAGGCATGAAACCAGGTGCTTGCCTATTTGGTTTCTAAAACTGACTAAACAGGTTCCTCTTCTACAAGCATTCTGCTCCTCATTTTTAGTTTTATTTTTCTATCATATATATCCCAAAGAAATACACATACACAAAAATATACAGTTGACTCTTGAAGGGGGGGTAGGGGCAGCCACACTCTCCTCGGCAAATAACTTTTGACTTCACAAAAAATGAGATTTAAAAACTTTAAAAAAAAATTTTTATTTATTTATTTGACAGAGAGACACAGCGAAAAAAGGGAACACAAGCAGGGGGAGTGGGAGAGGGAGAAGCAGGCTTCCCACTGACCAGGGAGCCCTACGCGGGGCTGATCCCAGGACCCTGGGACCATGACCTGAGCCGAAGGCAGACGCTTAACGACTGAGCCACCCAGGCGCCCAGAGATTTAAAAACTTTTTGACGGGGCACCTGGGTGGCTCAGCTGGTTAAGCGTCTGCCTTCGGCTCAGGTCATGACCCCAGGGTCCTGGGATGAGCCCCCAGTCAGGCTCCCTGCTCAGCGGGGAGCCTGCTTCTCCCTCTCCCCCCTGCTCCTGCTCTAATAAAAAAAAATTTTTTTAAATAAATAATAAATAAAAACTTTTTGACTTAACTAATAGTCTACTGTTGACCTGAATGAAGACTTATTGCTAACATAAACAGCTGATTAATGTATATTTTTTGTTGTATGTATTACACACTATATTTTTACAATAAAGCTAAAGTGTTAAGAAAGTCTTAAGGAAAATACATTCATAGTACTGTGCTGTGTTTATGAAATCCATGTAAACATGTGGTCAAGGGTCAACTGTATGTATTTTTATTATTAAAGATTTACTTGAGAGCGAGAGAGAGCGCGCGCACAAGCTGGGAGAGAGGCAGAGGGAGAGAGAGAAGCAGGCTCCCCAAGGAGCAGAGAGCCCAATGGGGGGCTCAATCCCAGGACCCTGGGACCATGACCCCCGCCCAAGGCAGACGCTTAACCGACTGTGCCACCCAGGCGTCCCAAGGGTCAACTCTATATCGACAGTACAATTATACGTATTCTCAAACAAAATTGTACGCCTCCTGTTTTCAATTTTAAAAGGAAAGTCAATTCTCACATGATTTTAAATCTTTCCTTCCTCCTTTCAGCAGTTACAAGTTGCTTTCAAGACTGTACTCTAAATTTTTTTTTTTTAAGTTTTTAATCACTCCGTGCTCATCACACGAGCACTCCTTAATCCGCAACACCTATTTCACCCAGTCCCTCCCTCCCCACTCTGGTAACCACGTTGTTCTCTATAGTTAAAGAGTTGCACGTCTAAATAAAAATTTTTAAAAGTTTCTTATTATTCACAAAACAATCAGAACACAATTAGTGAAACCTTGGGATCTTTGATCACTATTCTTTCTAAACTACCTTTTCTCATCGGGAAGGGGGAGGCTGGGCGGAGTATGAGGCGGTAGTTTGGAGTAAAACTTAGGTCTACCATTACCACGAGTTAGAATCAAAATAAACGGGTCACTGCTGGCGCTCTATTTAGTGCGAGAAACACTGCACTTCGCTACGGCTCATCATCGCTCCCTAGGGAGGGCAGGGCTGCGCTTAGTACAGGAAAAGCTGGAAAATCCAGGGAACAGAAGCAGAAATCTGTCAGAGGGGAGTTGCCGGACCAAGAAACTTATTTCCAACTCTCCACAGGGTAGGGCAATACCAGACCTCCGCGGCTCCAGCGTGTTCCCCACAGAATCTTTTCCCTGCCGCCACCACCATCCTGCAGAACCGCTTCTTCTTTTCCACGTAGTAACTGCACCGACCCTCAGCCGGAAAGTCAGTCGTGTGCGGGGCCGGCGCAGAAGCCGCCATAATTCAGGCTTCGTTTGAGGTGGCAAGCACCTGGTGAAGAGAAGAAAAGTTCTCTGCTCCCCTCGGGTCCCCTTTCCCTTAACAAATATGGCTGCCGCGCGTCCCGCCACGCAGGTTAATGCCCGGAACTGCCGCCCCATCCTCCGCAAAACCGGAAGAAACTGATGGTGGCTGACGAGGTTCAAATCTCCCCCGCCTTCCCTCTGTTTCTGTTTCCCCGCCTCCTCAGCGGAAGCCGAGCGCCAAACTCAAATTTTAGCAGGACCGGGACTCCTTTAGGCTAGTTCCGTGGGCTGGGCCTGCTGGACTTTTCCGCTTACTGGCAGGGGCAGCGGACCAACATGAGCCAGGTTCTGTTCCAGGAGCTCGTCCCGCTGCAGGTGAAATGCAAAGACTGTGAGGAGAGGTGAGGTTCCCGGTTTCCCCGTGCCCGCGGGTGGCGGTTGGGGTCCGGCCAAGGCGGGGGGAGGGGGGAAGATGGCGGCTCTGGCCAGTGGACGCCGGCTTGCGGCTGGGTGTGCGGCCGGCGTCCCGGGACGCGGAGAGAGTCCCACCTGGAACCTGATGTTACCTCTCTCACCGAGTTGGCGGTTGCGGAGGGCACAGGAGGGAGAGTATGAGCAAATGGAAAGCTGACCCGCGTCAAGTTAATTTAAAAAAAAAAATTAAAAAAATAAAAATTTTTTTATTTTTTAGTTCTGAACGGAATCGTGGAGATTATAGTTCTACTCTTTGTTTTTGACAGAGAAAGTTAATTTTGTCCGGAGAAGTGAAGTAATTTACACGAGAACTCCGAACAAGTTCACTGCAGGGCCGACGCAAGAACTCTGGCCTTGGCTCCCAGCCCTTTTTTCGCTCATCTTTGAATTATATTGGAAGTAAATTTAAGCTTCAGCTTAAAAAAGGTTTTATGGTGTAGTGCCTTTACATTAGTCACTAAAAATAAATTACGTTTATTATTATTATCATCGACTAGAAACAGTAGAGGAAATGATAAATTTCATTCATTCGTTCATTTAACAAATACTGCTTATGGCAAAACACCTTGCTGGGTACTGGGAATATAGTGATCAGGAAGAACAGTCCTTGTTTTCGTGGGGTTTACAGTCCAGTGGAGGAGGAAATAAAGGCCAGTCTCACATAAAAACACAGAATTACGACTTTGACAAAGGTGGTGGTGCTGTTGGGGCTTAACAGATTGGATTAGAAGCCAGGAGGTTTTGATTTTGTCTCCGTTCCGCCGCTCAGTAGCTGACTCTTGTTTCCTCATTTGTAAAACTGACATAAGGTACTACATACATAATATGAGGATCAAATCTGAAAATGTCTGTGAAAACTAAAAGGTGTGGAAATGTGACGTTAAAAATGAAGGCATTGCTTTATTGAGTAATGTGTAGCTAGTATATAGTTCAGAATTAGGTCTAACATCAATCCGCAAGCCAGGCAAGGAGATGATACCAAAGCTAGCAGCTGCATGTGGAGATGCTGTAGGGTATTTGAGTTGGTCATTCTTTTGTGCTGTCCAGTACGAGAGTCACATATGGTGATCGGACTTCTGAAATGGAGCTAATTCGAATTGATGGTGTGGTAAGAGTTAAAATGCGCATTGAGTTTTGAAGACTTACTAGGAAAAAGAATGTAAAATATCTCAATTTTTATGTTGATTGTAAAGATGACGCTATTTTGCATATATTGAATATGTATAATGTTGGGTATAAATTACTAACATAACAAATGTTAATAAATATATTCTGAATATCATAAACTTGGGAAATTTATATTTGACATATTGGATATATTCAGGAAAATATTACAATTAATTTACCTGTTCCTTTTAATTTTTTTTAATGTGGCTTCTAGAAAATTTGAAATTACATATTTGGTTCATATTTGTGGCCTCCATTGTATCTCTGTTGGACAGCAGTGTTCTAGAATAATTATAGAAATATAAAGGGGGGAGCATCATTTCTTAACTCCAATATTGGAACTCCTAGTTCTCCATTTCATTATATTGCCATCACAGTTATCTTCTTAAAACACATTGTCAACCTTTTTACTCCTCTTGTTTAGAAACCTTTGATATATTTCTATCACCTGTAGCAGGGATCGGCAAACGGGCCCATGGGCCAGGTGGCCTTCTGCCTATTTAAGTAAAGTTTTATTGGAACATAGCCATTCTCATTTGAGAATTGTCTGGCTGCTTTTGTGCCGTAAAGACAGACATGAATAATTGTGACAGAGACCTTATGGCCTGCAAAGCCTAAAGTATTTACTATCTGGCCCTTTGCAGAAAATATGCTGGCCCTGACCCATAGGGAAAGCAATCTGGACTTTAGTTAAATATTCAAGGCCAGGGCGCCTGGGTGGCTCAGTCATTAAGCGTCTGCCTTCGGCTCAGGTCATGATCCCAGGGTCCTGGGATCGAATCCCACATGGGGCTCCCTGCTCGGCGGGAAGCCTGCTTCTCCCTCTCCCACTCCCCCTGCTTGTGTTCCTGCTCTCGCTATCTCTCTCTCTCTGTCAAATAAATAAATAAAATCTTAAAAAAAAAAAAAAAAATCCAAGGCCAGTTCAGCTCAGCAAGTATTTATGAACACATACTTTGTACCAGGAATTGTCCTACATGCTGAGATTGTCTGGCTTCCTCTCTCTTTATTCCCCTGCCTCCTGACAACAACAACAAAACCAATTTTCATTCTGGGACTTAAGGAACTCACACTTTAATAGGGGAAACAAAAACATCTTCTTTGGAGAGGCAGCATAGCACAGGTTAAGAGTTCAGGGTCTGGAGCCAGGTTATCTGGGTTTAAATCCCATTTCTGTCACTTACTGACTGATTTTGTACATTTTTTCCTTGTGTCTCATCTTTAAATTAATGCTTATAAAAGTACCTGCCTCACGGGATAATTAGGAGCATGAAATCAGTTAATACATACAAAGTGCTTAGAACAGTGCCTGAAGCACAATAAGCATTCACTGAACATTATTAAAGTGTGATGAATGCATGAAGTGACATCAATATACTAAAGTCATAAAGAAGGAACGTCAGTGGAAGATAACTCAGAGAGCTCTGGAGGGAAGAATGCAGAATTTTGAAGCCCATGGTTTGACACCAACCTCTTTTTTCATTTTTGTTTTAGAAGTTCTTTTTCCCATATGCTAGTCATACAAGACTACTTATCCCTTGAATGTACCTGATACTCTCTCAATACCATACTTCTATTCCTGCTCTTCTCCCTGCCTCAGTTGCTTCTTCTGTCATAACCTTCAAGGTCTATCTTAAATCCCTTCACTGTAAGGACCTTTTCAAAGTTGCCCAAGTTGAAATTAATTGCCCTATTCATTTATTAGATAGCATAGTGTAGGTGAAAAGTCTGAGTTCTAATTTGGGCTCTGTAAGGTGACTTTAACCAAGTTTGTAACTGTGCACCTCAGGTTGTTCCTTTGTAAGACAGACGTAACTATTTACTTAGTAAGATTGTTGTTAAATAAGGTATATGTAAAGCACCGGGTAGATACTCAGTAGTGTAGGTGCTCAGTGTTAGTAACCCTTCCCTTCCTTCTCTTGAAGCACTAAAATTCAATCAGAAGCAAGTCTGGATAGAGTCATTTAATCTGATTTGAGGACATGGACCATGTTTATTTCTGTTTGTATCCCTAGTATCCAGCATACTACGTGGCTTAGAGTAGCTTTTATTTGTTTGAATTGAAAGGTTCAGGTCACAGCTTCTAGGTGGCGGAGGTGGGCTAGAATCCAATTCTGCTAATGCCAAATCTAACTGATAGGGAGGATGTTATGTGAATTTATGCGTTGTTCAGAGTATGACATTTATTTTGAGAAATAGCATTTTTTATGAGTTTTTATTGATTTGTTTTATATTGTTCCTATGACAACCATTGTAATGGAGAAAATAAGATTGTGATTTCAGATACTATATTTTCTGAAAGCTCAGGTTTTTCTACAATATACTTTGGAGGCAGGAGGGAGAGGTTTAATCTATGGGCCTTTCCTCCTCTCTTTTTCTCCCAAAACGAATGCATTATAGACATTTGGAATATATGCAACAATATCATTAATATGCTTTAATGTGATTCTTCTGGTACTATCTAAAGAATACTTTACTAAATGACTTCTTGATTTTTTTTAAACAAATTTATCAAGTATGACAGGACTTTTGAAAGTGTATGTTACCATAAAAAGTTATCTACTGCAGTGTTACATGCCCTGTGGCAGTATGTTTTAGAAAAAACTTCAAGACAAAAACCAAACATAATGACAATGTAGATCTGAAAATGTCCTCACAAACCTAACTCAATTCACTTATCGTACAAATTAGGAAATTAAAAGGTTTTTCCCCCCAAGAATACTTAATTTTTTTTTTAAAGATTTTACTTATTTGCCAGAGGAGAGTAAAAGCATGTGTGCACAAGCAGGGGGAGTGGGAGAGGGACTGGATCCGAGCGTAAGGCTTAAGCAACTGAGCTACCCAGGCGTCCCAAGAATATGTCATTTAAGTAGAGTTAGAGTAGAAATTTGCGCTAGATAATAGAAAAATAGAAAAGCATTTTCTTGTTCTAAAAATAATTCTTCCTGGGGGTGCCTGGGTGGCTCAGTTGGTTAAGTGACTGCCTTCGGCTCAGGTCATGATCTCAGGGTCCTGAGATTGAGCCCCACATCGGGCTCCCTGCTCAGCGGGAAGCCTGCTTCTCCCTTTCCCACTCCCCCTTGTGTTCCCTCTCTCGCTGTCTCTCTCTGTCTAATAAATAAATAAAATCTTTAAAAAAATAAAATAAAATTGATTCTTCCTGGGCGTCTGCCTTTGGCTCGAGTCATGATCCCAGGCTTTTGGGATTGAGCCCTGCATCGGGCTCCCCGCTCAGTGGGAAGCCTGCTTCTCCCTCTCCCGCTCCCCCTGCTTGTGTTCCCTCTCTCGCTGTCTCTCTCTGTCAAATAAATAAATAAATAAAATCTTAAAAAAAAAAAAATTCTTCCTATCTGTGGTATTTGCCAGTGCTGCTTGTTCCTTTTCACATATAACAAGTTATGGTAACCTTGGGGCGCCTGGGTGGCTCAGTCGTTAAGCGTCTGCCTTCAGCTCAGGTCATGATCCCAGGATTTTGGGATCGAGCCCTACATTGGGCTCCCTGCTCAGCGGGGAGCCTGCGTCTCCCTTTCCCACTCCGCCTGCTTGTGTTCCCTCTCTCCTGTCTCTCTCTCTCTCTCTCTCTCTCTCTCTGTCAAATAAATAAATAAAATCTTTAAAAAAAAAAAGTTATGGTAACCTTATCATCTGGTAACCTCATCATGCTAAGATTTAGCATCCAATCATATGTTCAATAGGAAATTTAACTAAAATGACATAAAAAGCCAAAATAAAAATTTCAAGTTGTAGCATAAAAAAATCTGGACAATTGAATCTGGCCTTGCTCAACTATTAACTAGTTTTTCCAACGCTTGGCTGCTAGGTCTATACTTTTTACTTCTGCAGTAGATAAGTAGCAGAATGTGGGAAAAATTTAAAACACATCTTAAGATGTTTAAGAATAGCTTAAAATTGAACAAATTCTATTTGTTTACTTTTGTTTCCTACACATCAGGGAAAGACCATTGTTTTTTAATTCTAGCAGAATATAGAACTTTTGTGCAGAGATGTTTTTTCACCAATTTTTCCCTTTATTTCCTTGATCATTTAAACATCTTTGCTCAGTTTGATTAATGGTTATGAGCACCTTGATTTATATGCCTCTGTCTGATACTGAATTCTCTCAGATGCAGTAGAGAATGTGGAAAGCTATGGTTTCTTTTGGAGTTCAGAGTTACTCTAGGTTAAGGTGGATAATAAACTGTTGACCTACTTCCATGGAGGTATTGCACAGGGACTATATTGAACAGATGTAGTTGGTGGATTTTGTGTATGTATAAGGGAGGGGAATGTGTTATCTTACTTTCTGGATTGTAAACATTCCATGTATTCCAATACTGCTTCACATTTTAAGTTTTTCAAGTGGAATCTCATAAATCAATTTGATCATTTGAATTGGTAATTATTTTTAATGTGGGAAGTTGTTATTAAATTGATGGTTTGTTTGGCTTTCAGTAGATGCTATTTTAGAATCCGGGCAATAGGTTATATTCCAGACTAGTAATGGGAATTCCACATTGTTTATCTCATTTAATTCTCACAACAGTCCCATTTTACAGGAGAGAAAAATATAATCTCTGGTTAAAAACCTGATTACTTACTAGTGGAAGAACAGGAACTTAAACTCCAAAACAACGGTATGCTTCCCAAATATCCTTTCATAACTTAGGGAAAACCTGTGGACGATCTTGCAGCTTAAGACTGAAAACTTCAGCTAATACAAATGACAGTGCTAACTCATTTCATATGATTGTTTCTGACAATTGGATATATCTTTTCATATAGGAGAGTAAATGTTAGAGTGAGCATTGAACTACAATCAGTTTCCAATCCAGTTCACAGAAAGGTTGGTATTAATTTCTTTTGAAATATTTTCTTTTTTTTTTTGAAATGGAATTTCTATGCGTTATAATTATTTTTGTTCTTTAAGAACATGAGATCTTTTGTTACACCAGCTTGCTTTTTAGTTTTGGGCCAGTTTGTAACTTGCAAATCTGGGGTGGTAGAATCTCCTAAGACAACAACTGAGAGATTATTATACCATATGTTTCTTTCTTCTTCTTTCTTTTTTAAGATTTTACTTATTTATTTATTTATTTATTTGAGGGGGGTGGAGTGCGTGTGCGGGGGAGGGGACAGAGGGGGAGAGAGAGAGAGAGTCTCAAGCAGACTCCTCACTGAGCGAGCCCAACTCAGGGCTTGATCTCATGACCCTGAAATTATGACCTGAGCTGAAATCAAGAGTCAGATGCCCCACTGACTGAGCCACCCAGGTGCCCCTATATCATCTGTTTCTAAAGCATACAGGAAGGATTGGGGATTGGGAGAATTGGGGGTTAGATTTGCCCAATGCACTTAAACGTTGCTGGAATATAAATTGCTACCCTGTAGAATTGGCATTTCACGTTGTACATGTGAGGATAGAATAAGTTGGAAGTACTGCAGGGAGATATTTTTGAATCTTTGCCTTTTGAAGGGAGTCATTTAGAGCATCAGTCCTATATGATCTTCAGAAGTATGAGTCATTAGTGATATGGATACAGACAAGATGACTAAGAAATACAGCATCTGTTTTCTCTGTGTCATAGCTTTCCCTAAACATGATATTCAAGGACCTTGTACTATTAGTAGTAGCTTCAGTTTTTTTTATAGCATCTTCGGGTGAATTTCAAGAAGTACTTCTGTAGAAGCTGCCTTCAGGCAGGACATTCTGAGGCAGAGCAAATACCTAGATTGCTAATTTTCTGGAGTAGAGATTATATGTTATATTTTTTACATGTTATTCCTTAGGCCTGTTGCACCTCTTCATTTTCTAGCTCTACCCATAAGTGGTTTAGATTTTTCTAGGACCCTAGCAGTTCCTCAGTAGCCACGAGTAGATTTTATTTCAAAGTGGAAGCTTATTCTTAACCTGAATGCTGATTCATTCTTCATTAGGCCTCCATCATCTTGTTACTATGCCTGTTTTCTTTATATCAGTGTTCTCTAAAATACGTAATTTCTGTGTACTTCTCTGTCAGCATTAGCTGCTGTCATGTTCTGTGATACTGTAAATTTATGTAGAAAGTGGTCTTTATGAAAGATATTCGCTTAATGTGAAACTGAAAACAGATGGGAGTTCCATGTCAGCGGCCACCTGGAGTAGGAGAGAATAGCCCTTAGGAAGAAGCCCTGGCAACATGTTACTTGATACCCCTGTCTTCTGCCTGAGACACAAATGCTCCTTTTCTAGGATACATGATTGCTTGTCATTTCAGCTGATATATTGCCACTTTTGAAATATCAGATAATTAACTTATGGGAAACTGAAAATAAAATTGAATATGGTGTGGTCAGTGGTAGAATGTTTTTATCATGCTATAGTGCAGCAAGGACCAGTTCTAAATTTTCCTAAGCCTCTAACAGGATGGTATTCCTCAATTTTCAACTCCTAGCATTTAACTAGTTTTTATAGACCCCCACATGGCTCTCAAGGAGCAGAATATCTACCCCTGTTTAAGATTCTTAAGTCTCTTAAAGACTAATGAAAACCCAGCTGCACCAGAAAACAAAGTCATCTGAAGTATATTGGTGATACATTGTTGTTACTGGATAATTTCACTTCTAAGAAGGAAGAAATTACTCTAAAAGCCTGCTCTATTGAAAACATTAAAAAATAACAATCTTTCTTTTAGGATTTAGTTATCCGTCTGACTGATGATACTGATCCATTTTTTCTGTATAACCTTGTTATATCTGAGGAAGATTTTCAGAGGTAACTAAATTTATGTTTCTGTTTTTATATTTAATCTAGGAAGTAAGTTTTATTGATGTATTGGTAGTATTCTCTTTGAAATGCAGCCTATTAGGAACATTTAGGTATTTTGAGAATACTGGACTGCTTATACTGCTTATACCATAATTATTCAGGATGTTTTTGAAAGTAAATATTTCATAGCTTATCAGAATTCTGCTTACAACAGCTCAAATTTGGAGCTTTAGATAAATATATTGACCTTTTCCCTCCCATTGAATAAATTCTTAAAAACAGAGTTCTCTAGTTCTTGATTATAATGGATATTCGGTAAATAAAAAAAGAATGTTTTAGGGTTTTAATTAAAGATAGTAATTAAATTTTTTAAAAATCTCTTTTCTTCTGTATAGCTTAAAATTCCAGCAAGGCCTTTTGGTAGACTTCTTGGCTTTCCCACAAAAATTTATAGATCTCCTTCAGCAATGTACTCAAGAACATGCCAAAGAAATTCCAAGGTAAGTCTCGTAAGAGCACTACATCATTAAAATTCTCTCAAGAGAAACTCTTCTTTGTAAGACAAATTGATGGCAAAATATTTTCTATGTGGTATTAGTACTCCTGTCTATTTTTGACTGGGTTTAGGGCTATTAAATGTCAAATTTTAAGGAATCATGGTTAAAATCAGAATATTTACCCCTTAATTTTCATGTCTTGACAGAGTCATTAAAGCTATCTGAAATATTTAACAGCATCAAGTATATGATTTTATAATGAACTTGGATAAGAGGAATAAGATTTTGTGTTTATATGTGTATATTCATGTTTGTCTGATGCTAAAGCCTGATCCTTTCTTTGTAAAGTTCACTAACCTTTTATCTGTTGGTTTCATCAATTGATGATTGTTGTTTGAATCAATTATTTTGTTAGGAACTACAAAGTTATGCATTTCTAATTCTGTCATTCTTTTTATATTTATTAGGTATAATTCTTTTATAAAGAAGAACTTTTCCTCATCAGTTTGGGCTATTTGATTACTATGGAAAGGAAAGGATAAATGCTTAATTCTTTTAAATTGTCAATTTTTAGAATGAAGAGTTGTTACTCTAGTTACTTTTGTGTTTTCAATCGGTTTTTGGTTTGTTTTTATTTTTCTACTTTGTCTTTCATTGTGAACTCCCACAGACATTTGTATATTCACTGTATTTCAGTGAATCCTTTTTCTATTTCTTGCTCAATTTTTCCATTTTACTCTTAGTTTATTCAGTTTTACCATTGGGAGTCCTTTTATATTGGCCCCTGTGATTCCAATATGCCTCCTTTCCCAGTGCTTCTCAGCATCAAGGATTCACTGGAGCTTATGATTCAGTGGGAGAATTTCACTATCTCATAAGTGTTGTTATATTGTGACACTTTCTTTTCAAAGGTTTTTGCTACAGTTAGTTTCTCCAGCACCTATTTTGGATAACTTACCTGCCTTTTTAAATGTGGTAGAGACAAATCCTTTTAAGCATCTCACACACCTCTCACTAAAACTTCTACCTGGAAATGATGTGGAAATAAAGAAGTTTTTAGCTGGCTGTTTGAAATGTAGCAAGGTAAGATTTAAATTTAAGTTATTCTTTTAAAAATGAGTACCAAAAGACTCTGATAAGTCACTGAGGAGTTATAGTGCAATTAGTTTTTGTTTTCAGAATAAAGTATTGTTAAAGATGTCTAGTAAGTTTTTATAATATGTAAGGAATTTATTTTTACTTTATTGTTCTTTTTTTTTTTTCCATTTAATCAAGATACAGTGAGGGTAGAACTGGGCCAAAAATTGAAAAACTAGGTCCCATGGTTTTTATTAATTTTCTGTGATCTGGGTAGGTCACTTAAACTGTTTTATCATGGTTTCATCAGCTGGTAGATAAGTAGGGAAATATCTACTACCCTATTACATCTGTCTCAAATGAGGAAAAAGATATGAAAGTATCTTGAGAATTACAAAGTGCTTTATAATTTTATAAGGTATATGGAGCAAGAATACAACATTAGGATGCCTCTTCATAGTTTTCATAAAGACTTTTTAGTCAAATGCTATAGATTAGTGCATCTCAGATTTTAATGGTATGCAAATCCTCTAGAGATCTTGCTCATTCTGATTGTGAATCAGAAGGTCTGAAGTGGAACCCAAAATTCTGCATTTTTAGCAAACTCTCAGGGTGATGCTGATGCTATACTTTGAGTAGCACAGCTACAGATGATTAAATTGTAAGCTGCGTAATTTTATTGTTTTTATAAATAGGAAGAAAAATTATCATTGATGCAATCACTAGATGATGTTACTAGGCAACTGAATTTCACACAAAAGGTAATTCAGATTTCATTTTGTTTTTGTGAGTCCTCCAAACACTGGCTCTGAATTGCTTCTCGAATCCTGTCCAGGCTTTTGTGTATTATTTTTTAAAGCATGTTCCTTTGAATTCCCTCTCCTTTTTGCCACCTTTCCCCTATCAGCAAATTATCTTAATCTGATTGCTTTCTCTGATAGTTGATTCCATCCAAACATTTCTGTTACCTTCAATATATAACACATTCCTTTCAGGTCTTCATTAAATAATATATAGTACCTGTCATATGTTAGTTCTTTGCTCTTTTATTCACCTCACTCCTCCTGTCTAAAATGATGTTTTGGTTCATATTTTCTAAACCTTTCCCTTCCATACTTGTGTTATGACTTATTTTGATAGGCTTATTATCATTTCAGTTATAGCTACTACCTTTTTGCCCTTAGTCCTTGAAACCGAAGACTGTATCTGATAAGTGGCATGGCTTCAGGCAGAAATTGTCCTGTACAATGTAGCCCATCTAGGAAATCTATGTTACTAGGTTTGATATGTATAAGTGAACCACTCCATATAACTGACTTGCTCTACCCTGGTTTACTTTATTTCTTAATGTCAGAGGAGAGGATTAGGTAGTGAAGAGCCAGATTTAACTAAAAGGTTAAAGATAGTTAAGCTTGACTTCTGGATCATGTTAGCTCTAAAATTCTTTTATTCTAATCTTGATTTCCTCAAATTAAAAAAGAAATCTGTGTAGGAAAAGGCTTTGAGTATGTTTTGGAAAGCTGGGATTCCTTTTCTTTAATATCCTTTGCAAATATTGCCATGTTCTAAGCTAATAACATTCACAAGACTGTCTTAATATTTTGTGTTGAACTCTAATACAGACATTATCAGAAAAAATCCAAGAATTAGATAAGTTGCAGAATGAATGGGCATCACACACAGCTGCATTGTCAAATAAACATTCCCAGGAATTGACAAATGAGAAAGAAAAGGCCTTGCAGGTATGAATGTTAAAGAAAATAGAAAATTATTTTGTTGCTGCTGTTAGTCATTTTGTTAGTTATAAAAGTAATATATGCTTGCTTTAATATGTTCAAACATTACAGAAGTATTAAAAAAAAATGTTGCTCATTAAAAGTCTTATTACCTAGAGGTAATTTATATACATTTTGATATGTGTTTTTCCAGTCTTTTCTCTTTATATGTAAATAATGTGTCCTTTATAAATATTTGTTCATATTTATAAATTTAGAAATATGTAAATTATATATTTGTACACACATAGTGGATTTTGGTTGTATTCTATGCTAATGAGGTCCCACAGTATATATTGATTGTAACTTTTTTCACCTAACATGACATCATAGGTCATTCTTTATCAGTTCAGATATTCCTTTTTAGTGGCTGCATAGTATTCATTATTTGGGTACAACATAAATTAACTACTTACCCAACTGGTGGACATTTAAATGCTTCAGTATTTTGGCTGATGCAAATAAACTACAGTGAACATTCTTTGTTCCTAGAAGTGAGATTGCAATAGACCTATTAAGATACTAATGGATATTGCAAATTTGGTAGCCAGAAGGGTTGTACCAAGTCTAAAAGATAGTGTATGACATTACTTATTTCCCCATATTCTTTTTTTCATTTTTATTAAGTTTTTAATTTTAATTCCAGTATAGTTAACATACAGTGTTGTATTAGTTTCAGGTGTATGATATAGTAATTCAACAATAATATACATTACTGAGTGTTCATCATAAGTGTACTCTTTAATCTCCATCACCTGTTTTACCTATTCCCCCACCCCATGCCCCTGCGCAGATAACCATCAGTTTATTCTCTATAATTAAGAGTCTCTTTCTTGGTTTGTCTTTTTTTCCTTTGTCCATTTGCTTTTTTTCCTGAAATTCCACATATGAGTGAAATCATATGGTATTTGTCTTTCTCTGGTTTACTTACTTTGCTTAGCCTTATACTCTAGCTCCATCCATGTTGTTGCAAATGGCAAGATTTCATTCTTTTTATGGCTGAATAGTATTCTATATATATATATATAATGGGATATAATATAAATATATACATATAATGGAATATATGTATACACACACACACACACACACACACACAAACACCCCACATCTTTATCCATTCATCTATTGGTAGACTCTTGGGCTGCTTCCATAATTTGGCTATTATAAATAATGTTGCAATAAACATAGGGGTGCATATATCCTTTTGAATTAGTGTTTTTGTATTCTTTGGGTAAATACCCTGTAGTGTGATTACTGGATAGTAGGGTAGTTCAATTTTTTTTTTTTTTAACTTTATTTTCTTTAGTAATCTCTACACCCAATCTGGGGCTCAAACCCACGACCCTGAGATCAAGAGTCATACGTTCTTCTGACTGAGCAAGCCCGGAGCCCTTATGGGTAGTTCCTTTTTTAAAAAAAATTTTATTTATTTATTTGACAGAGAGAGACACAGCGAGAGAAGGAACACAAGCAGGGGGAGTGGGAGAGGGAAAAGCAGGCTTCCTGCTGAGCCGGGAGCCCGATGCGGGGCTTGATCCCAGGACCCTGGGATCATGACCTGAGCCGAAGGCAGACACTTAACCAACTGAGCCACCCAGGCGCCCATGGGTAGTTCTATTTTTAATTTTTTAAAAAGATTATTTATTTATTTATTTTAGAGAGAGAGAATGAGAGTGAGAGAATGAGCAGGGAAAGTGGCAGAGAGAGAGGAGAAGCAGACTCCCTGCTAGGAGCCCGATGCAGGTCTCTATCCCAGGACGCTGGGATCATGACCTGAGCTGAAGGCAGATGTGTAACGTGCTGTCCACCCAGGTGCCCTTCTATTTTTAATTTTTTGAAGAACCTCCATACTGTTCCACAGCAGCTGCACCAGTTTACATGAGGTGCATGAGGGTTCCTTTTTCTCCACATCCTCACCAACACTTGTTTCTTGTGTTTTTGATTGTAACCATTCTGACAGGTGTGAGATGATAGCTCATTGTACTTTAGATTTACATTTCCCTGATGATGATATTGAGCATCTTTTCATTTGTCTGTAGGCCATGTGTGTCTTCTTTGGAGAAATGTCTGTTCATGTGTTCTGTCCATTTTTTTCACTGGATTGTTTGTTTTATTGGCATTGAGTTATATCAGTTCTTTGTATATTTTGGATGCTAGCCCTTTATCAGATACGTCCTTTGCAAATATCTTCTATTCAATAGGTTGCCTTTTAGTTTTGTTAATTGTTCCCTTCACTGTGCAGAAGCTTTTTATTTTGATGTATTCCCAATAGTTTATTTTTGCTTTTCTTTCCCTTGCCTCAGGAAATATATCTAGAAGAATGTTGCTATGGCCAGCGTCAGAGAAATTACTGCCTGTGCTCTCTTCTAGGATTTTTATGGTCTCAGGTCTCACATTTAGGACTTTAATCCATTTAGAGTTTATCTTTGTGTATGGTGTAAGAAAGTGGTTCAGTTTCCTTCTTTTGCATGTACCCGTCCAGTTTTCCCAGTACCATTTATTGAAGAGACTATCTTTTTCCCATTGCCTATTACTGCCTCTTTTCTCAAAGATTAATTGACCATATAATCGTGGGTTTGTTTTGGGCTTTCTGTCCTGTTCTCTTGTTCTCTGTGTCTGGTTTTGTGCCAATACCATACTGTTTGATTACTACAGCTTTGTAATATAACTTCAAGTCTGGGATTTTGATACATCCAGCTTTGTTGTTTTTTTTGTCTTCTAGATTGTTTTGGCTATTTGGGGTCTTTTGTGCCTTCATACAAATTTTAGGATTATTTGTTCTAGTTCTGTGAAAAATGCTGTTGATATTTTGATAGGGATTACATTAAATGTGTAGATTGCTTTGAGTAATGACATTTTAACAGTATTTGTTCTTCTAATCCATGAGCATGGAATATCTTTCCGTTTGTTTCTGTCAGTTTTAGTTTCTTTCATCAATGTTTTATAGTTTTCAGAGTATAGGTCTTTTACCTCCTTGGTTAGATTTATTCCTAGGTATCTTATTTTTGTACAGTTATAAATGGGATTACTTTCTTAATTTCTCTTTCTGTTGCTTTATTATTAGTGTATAGAAATGCAATGGATTTCTATACATAGATTTTGTATACTATGATCTTACTGAATTCATTTATTCTAGTAACTTTTGGTGGAGGTTTTAGAGTTTTCTATATATAGTATCATGTCATCTGCAAATAGTGAAAATTTTATTTCTTCCTTACCAATCTGGATGCCTTTTATTTCTTTTTCTTGTCTGATTTCTGTGGCTAAGACTTCCAGTACTATGTTGAATAAAAGTGGTGAGAGTGGACATCCTTGTGTTGTTCCTGATCTTAGAGGGAAAACCATTCAGGATGATGTTAGCTGTGGGTTTTTCATAAATGGCCTTTATTATGTTGAGGTATGTTCCCTCTAAATGTACCTTGTTGAGGGTTTTTATCATGAATTGATGTACTTTGTCAAATGCTTTTTCTGCATCTATTGAGATGATCATGTGGTTTTTATCCTTTGTTATTGGTATGTGTTAACATTGATTGATTTGTGAATATTGATCCATCCTGGCAACCCAGGAATAAATCCCTCTTGATCATGGTGAATGATTTTTTTTTAGTGTATTTGAATTTGGTTTGCTACTATTTTGTTGGGGATTTTTGCATCTATGTTCACTAGGGATATTGGCTTGAAGTTCTCTTTTTTTGTTGTGTCTTTATCTGATCTTGGTGTCACGGTACTGCAGGCCTCCTAGAATGAATTTGGAAGTTTTCCTTTCTCTTTTATTTTTTGGAATAGTTTGAAAAGAATAGGTGTTCACTCCTCTTTAAATATTTGGTTGAATTTACCTATGAAGCCATCTGGTCCCGGGCTTTTGTTTGTGGGGAGATTTTTCATTACTGATTCAATTTCATTGCTGGTAATCGGTCTGAACTTTCTCTTTCTTCCTGAGTTTTTTTGGGAGGTTATATGCTTCTAGGAATTTATTCATTTCTTCTAGGTTGTCCAATTTGTTAGCATATAATTTTTCATAATTCTCTTGTGACCCTTTGTATTTTTTTTTTTTTTTTTTTTGATGAGTCTAGCTAAAGGTTTATCAATTTTGTTGATCTTTTTAAAGAACCAGCTCCTGGTTTCATTGATCTGTCCTTTTTTGTTGTTGTTGTTTTTTCGTTTCTGTGTCATTTATTTTTGCTATAATTTTTATTTCCTTCTGCTGGTTTTGGGTTTTGTTTATTCTTTGGCTCCTTTAGGTGTAAGGTTAGGTTGTTTATTTGAGATTTTTCTTGCTTCTTGAGGTAGGCCAATATTGCTATAAACTTCCCTCTTAGAACAGCTTTTGCTGCCTCCTAAAGATTTTGAACAATTTTTTCATTTTCATTTTTTTGCATGTATTTTTTGATATCCTTTTTGATTTCTTGATTGTCCTATTCGTTGTTTAGCAACATATTATTTAACCTCCATGTATCTGTACTCTTTCCAGATTTTTTTTTTTTTTTTTTTGGTGATTGATTTCTAATTTCATAGCGTTGTGGTCAGAAAAGATGAATGGAATGACTTTGATCTTTTTGAATTTGTTGAGGCTTGTTTTATGGTCTAAAGAATGTGTAGTCTGCTGTTTTCTGATGGAATGCTTTGTATATATCTATTAAATCTGTCTTGTCAATATGTCATTCAAAAGCACTGTTTCCTTGTTGATATTCTGTTTTGATGATCTGTCCATTGATGTAAGTGGGATTTTAAAGTCCTTTACTATTATTGTATTACTGTCAATTCACTCCTTTATGTTTGTTATTAGCTGCTTTATGTATTTGGGGCTCCTCAGATATGTTGGGTGCATTAAAAATATATGTTGGGCGCATAAATATCTACAATTTTTATATCTTCTTGTTGGATTGTCTCCTTAATTACACAGTGTCCTTGTCTCTTGTTATAGTCTTTTTTTTTTTCTTCAAATTTTTATTTACATTCAAGTTAACATATAGTACAATATTGGTTTCAGGAGTAGAATTTAGTGATTCATCACTTACATATAACACTTAATACTCATCATAACAAGTGCCCTCCTTAATACCCATCACCCACTTAGCCTGTCCCCCACCCACCTCCCTCCATCAACCCTCAGTTTGTTCTCTATCACTAAGAGTCTCATGGTTTGCTTCCCTTTCTCTTTTTTATTTCCCTTCCCCTATGTTTATCTGTTTTGTTGGTAAATTGCATATATGAACGAAATCATATGGTATTTGTCTTTCTCTGACCTATTTCGCTTAGGATAATACACTCTAGCTCCATCCACATCATTGCAAATGGCAAGGTTTCATTCTTTTTGATGGCTGAGTAATATTCCATTGTGTATATACGCCACATCTTCTTTATACATTCATCAGTTGGTGGATGTTTGCTCTCTTTACATAGTATGGTTATTGTTGATAAGTTTTTGTTTTAAAGTGGAATACCAGTTTACACTGCCATTCTGAGGGTGTATGATAATACCTTATAATAACACATTTTCATATGTGTATTGACCACTTGGATATTCTCATGTGAAGTTCAAGAATACTCTTGCCTGTTTTCATCTTTAGCCCATTTTTATTTATTTATTTTTAAAGATTTTATTTATTTATTCATGAGAGATAGAGAGACAGAGGCAGAGGGAGAAGCAGGATCCCAAGGAGCAGGGAGCCCAGTGTGGGACTCGATCCCAGGACCCGGGAATCATGACCTGAGCTGAAGGCAGACGCTTAACCATCTGAGCCACCCAGGCGCCCCTAAAGATTATTTAAGACAGGGAAGGAGAGAGCGAGTGAGAGAGCACAAGCAGGGGGAGTGGCAGAGGCAGAGGGAAAAGCAGACTCTGCACTGAGCAGGAGCCCGACATGGCGCTTGATCCCAAGACCCTGGGATCATGACCTGAGCCAAAGGCAGACGCTTAACCGACTGAGCCACCCAGGCACTCCTAGCCCATTTTTAAATTAGACTGTTACTATTTTACCTATGGATTTGTAGGGATTTTTTTGTATGATCTGGACTTGAGTCCTTTGTCAGACGCATGCATTATGAATATTTTCTGTGTGTGGCTTGCCTTTTCATTTCTCTGTGGTATAAAGTAGGCATAGTATATCTTTATTATGTATATTATAAACATTTTCTCCCAGCCTTTGTCTTTTACTGTTTATTGTTGCCTTTTGCCCTATATGGTTCTTTTTATTTGGATGTCATCAAATCTGTCAATCTCTGCTTTTATGGTCTAAAGCTTCATGTTTGGAAAGCCTCTGCCACCCAAGGTTATAAAATCTGTTCCTTCAATATTTTCTTTTAATACTTTTACTTTTTTTTGTTGTATTTAACTTTTTAATCTGTTTGAGATATATTTTTGTGGAGTACAGTATAAGATAGGTATTTTTTGACATAAAGTCAGTCATTTGTTCTAATACTATATATTCCACTGATTTAAAATGCAACTTTTAATATATTCTAAATTCCTTTGTATATTTAAGCTTGTTTCTGGAGTGTTGGGGAGAACTAATATCTTTCACATCTTCTAACCCAATAGAGAGAATATCTTTTCATTTATTCAGGTCTTATTTAAAACAGGCTTATAGTTTGCTTTTTATTTCCCTCTGAATTCTTTCTTTCTTTTTTTTTTTTTTTTACAGTTCTTACTAAATATGCCTAGAGATTTTATAGTTTTTTGCTGTATAAATTGGACCATCTATGTCCCACCATTGTGATAATTTTGATTGTTGTGCATTAATGTCGTACTCATTAATTGTACATTATATTTACAGATTCTGATAGTTTTAGAACTGATTGTCTTAGGTTTTTCAGGTAAATATATAATGTATAAAAATGGTAATTTTTTTTTTTTTTAAGATTAGTGTCTTCTTTTTCTTGTACAGAAAAGTGCTAAATAGTGAAATCCTTTCCTCATTCTATTCTTTTTTTGGTAAATAACTTAAAATATCTCATCTTTAAGAATCATGTTTGCTCTGCATCAGAGAAAGTTTTCTTTTGTTCTGTGTCCTGAGAGTTAAAGAGTGCTAAGTCAGATATAGTGATTTTGGGGGATTTAATCAAATAATCATGTCATTTTTTCCACTTTTATCTAATGTAATAACTGATAATGGATTTTATTTTATTTATTTTTAGAGAGCTTGTGCGTGTGGGGAGGGGGGTAGTAGTGGAAGGGGCAGAGGGAGAGGGAGAGAGAATCTCAAGCAGGCTCCATGCCCAGTGCAGAGCCTGATGCAGGGCTCGATCTCATGACCCTGAGATCACGACCTGAGCCGAAATCAAGAGTCAGACACTGGGCGCCTGGGTGGCTCAGTCATTAAGTGTCTGCCTTCGGCTCAGGTCATGATCCCAGGGTCCTGGGATCGAGTCCCACATCGGGTTCCCTCCTCGGTGGGAAGCCTGCTCTCCCTCTCCCACTCCCGCTGCTTGTGTTCCTGCTCTCGCTATCTCTGTCTCTGTCAAATAAATAAATAAAATCTTTAAAAAAAAAAAAAAGAGTCAGACACTTAACTGACTGAGCCACCCAGGTGCCCTATAGGCAGTGATTTTAAAATTTTAGTGTGTATCAGAATCACCTGCAGTGAACAGAGTAGAAAATGTAAAGGTAGTCCTATCCCTCATACTTCTTTCTTTTTTTTAAACAAAAACTCCAAAATACTAATGATCACTGGGATAAAACCAGTCCTTTTTTATTGCCTTCAGTGTGTTTGATTACCTTCTTCAACAGTTACGTTAGCATCTTTTCCAGTTTACTCTTTATTCTTCTTGATTGCTCCTTCAGTGTTTTCTTCCCACGTTACATTTTCAGTCTTTTGTGGACTTTTTCTGTTTTTCTCTTTTGTTCCCTTCTCCCCTCCTTTCCATTTTTCAAAAAATGAGAGAATTTTAAAGTAGTTATATAAAATTCCTCAAGTATTTTATGAGGGAGACATTCCCCTGTTCTTGTAAGAATTTTTAAATGGGTACAACTTTTTTGGAATGCAGTTTTGGAACTTATATTAAGTTTTGTTATCTGTTTATTTTTTTGGTTTCTTTCTTTTTAACTAGGCTCCACACCCAACATGGAGCTAAACTGAGTCACCCAGGTGCCCCTGTTTACATTTTTTGACCTATAATTTGATCATAAGGAAATAATCTGAATTTTGGATGTATGTCTGTATACAAAAGCAATCATAGTTTTATTTCTAATTGTGAAAAATTGGAAAGTCCATGTCCATAGTAATACAGGGTTTAAATGAATTATGGTATATCCATGGAATGGAATAATGTGCAGCTATTAAAGTGTTTACAGAGTTTTTTTATGGTATGAAAAGGTACAAATGCAGGGTGCCTGGGTGACTCAGTTGGTTAAGCGTCTGACTCTTGATTTTGGCTCAGGTCGTGATCGCAGGGTCATGGGATTGACCCCTGCGTTGGGCTCTGCACTCAGCACAGAGTCTGGGCATCCCTCTACCTCTGCTCCTCCTCCTCCCGCTCTATCTCTAAAATAAATAAAATCTTGAGAAGGTACAAATGCTAAGGAATAAAAAGCATGATTAAGTTGTATAAATGTGGCTTGATCTTAATTAAACTTAAATATGTATATTCTGTGTGTACGGGTGATGTCAGTATGAATATATTAGGAATATATATTCACCAAATAAGTATATTACAAATATTCCTAAATATTTAGAGTGATTCCCTGGATGAAATTATTGGTTATTTGTAATTTCTTTCTTTGTGCCTTTAAGAGTATGTATAACTTTCATAATCAGAAAAATGTACTTTATTTTTGAAAGGTATTTAGGATTTGATAGTGTTCATCAATAGAAATGATAAACATAGACTTGTGGTATGATTCAGACAGGCACCAGAGATTACACAATTATAACTGTGTTCAAATTTTATCATAGGTAAAATGTTGCTACTAGTGTAAGACTGAACTAATGAACAATTCCTTGTCAATTTTATAATTTTAGGGTTTTTTTATTATAAAAAATATACACTGTTGTAAAAAACTGAAACAATATAATGGTATTTAAAATGAATACTGGAAATTCCCTCTGTACCTGCTCTTTTTTTTTTTTTTTAACACAAATAGGTTCACACTATTTTGTAGTTTTTTAACCTAATCATATATGATTCTTCCCTTAACTTGAAGACTATACTAAATATTTGAGGGTTTAAGAGAAGCAGAAACTAAGGACAAGATCATAATGGTAAATTTGCCTTTGTTGACCTTTCTTCTTCATGAAATCCATAATTGAAAATAGATTCTCTTTAAAACAGGGAAATTTTATAATCTTACAGAAAAATAAAATTTATTTTTCTTCAAATCTTCCTGTATTTGTATTTGGGTTTTTTGTTTGTTTGTTTTGAATTTTGGTACTATATTTTTATTATAGGCACAGGTACAGTACCAACAGCAGCATGAACAACAGAAAAAAGATTTAGAAATCCTCCATCAACGAAACATCCAGCAACTACAAAACAAATTATCTGAGTTGGAAGCAGCTAATAAAGACCTAACCGAAAGGAAATATAAAGGAGACTCTACCATCAGAGAACTTAAAACAAAACTGTCTAGTGTTGAAGAGGTATTGAACTTTGGGTTTGTTCCCCCCACCCCCAATTTAAAATAACATTTTAATTTGGTGACTTTATTACTTGTGGGCAGGCTGTTTCTCTGCTTTGCAAGGATGTCTTGGTGATCTTAGGGTAATCAGACATTGCAAAAAAAAAAAATTGAGAATCTAAAATCTGATGAATCTGGTAATTCAAAATAGAACTGAGGTAAACTTGGATATTTTTAGTTAGGGTCTTGAGGAGCAGCTCATTGACACAGCCTTTAGATTTTTCAGTGTACTTTTAATATCCACACAGTGTCTGTATAGCTCAGCATATTCAGTCTTGACAGGACTGGTTCTTTCAACCTACTTAACATGTCAAGACAACTACATGAAGTTGTGTCTAATAATAATAATGATATTAGTAATGATAATAGCTAAGGCATACTGAACATATGCTGTGTGACAGGTGCTGTTTAACTGCTTTACATATATTAACCCATTTAATTCTTATAACAATTATTTTAAAGAAGGTACTATTATCCCCATTTTGCAGATGATGAACTAAGGCACAGAGAGGTTAAGTAACTTGCCCAAGGTCACATGGCCAGTAAGTGGAAGAACAAGGATTGGAATCCTCTTATTTGCTTGTCTTTAGTACTCCCTTTTTCAGGCAACAGAGCCATTTTGAAAATCTTGCTGTAGTGACACATTGTTGATTTTTTGGCCCTGATGATAGACTCCTTCCTAGCATTATACATTATTGTCATGAATTAATCAGAAAACATAGATTTTGTTAAGTCTGTCATATTTAAATACAAAGATCACCAGTGTTACTCAAGCTTATGAGACTTCCCACTCCATTTCACCAGTCTCTTGTGCTTAGGAAACTCTAACGCTTGACTGATTTTTATGTTCCGATCCTCAGTATTCTGCCTCAGTAGGTGTTTTTAGTGCATCCTCCCTGCTCCCTTTACCTTTCATACCAATTTGTAAAGTACTGTAGCCTTCCTAGTACATTGGATAGTCATTATAATGCCATATGACTTCTTCTATCTTAGCCCTGAAATTGGCCACTTTAAAAACAGTGTGCTCTGTTATATGGGTTTTATATAATCTAATCAAACTATTTCTTCCAAGATTTGCTAAGACTTTAAAATTATGAGTCCTGGAAACTTTTTAAAAAAATTTTAATTGTAGTATAGTCAACATACAGTGTTATATTAGCTTCAGGTGTCCAATATAGTGTTTTAACACTTCCATACAACACCTGCTGCTCGTGACAAGTGCACTCCTTAATCCCCATCACCTATTTCACCCATCCCCTTTGGTAACCATCAGTTTGTTCTTAATAGTTAAGAGTCTGTTTCTTGGCTCTCTTTTTTTTCCCTTTGCTCATTTGTTTTGTTTCTTAAATTCCATGTATGAGTGAAATCATATGGTATTTGTCTTTCTCTGACTTATTTCACTTAGTGTTATACTGTCTAGCTCCATCCATGTTGTTGCACTGGGAACTTTTTTTTAAACCTCTGAGTATTGTTACCTAATCATGTTAAATTTACCTTTTAGGCATTAGTGCCCCAAAAATAATTGCTGCCATTTATTATTTACTGTGTGCCAGGCATTATGCTAAGCAGTTTGCATTATGGTTTTTATGAAGATTAAGTGAAGTAATTTATGAAGTGTTTGTTATTTCTGTTTTACAAATGGGGGAATGGAGATTTAGGGAGGTTAAATAATTCCCAAGATTACACCAAAGAACCTAGATTTGTATTCAAGTCTGTCTGATAACAGGGTCTGTTTCTAAAACCAGTATGGCATAATACTATAAAATTACCTTGTAAAGTTTTGTTAAAAATGAAAATTATCTAGGAATACTATATCCTGGACTTGTGTATACTGGCAGTATTTGGTTGGTATTAGCTGATTGGGAAGTAATCTGTCCTAGATTTTTAAAAATCTGTTTTTAATTAACAATTATATTTGCTTGGTTTTGTTTTAAAGAGTGAACCAAGAGGAAATCCAGAAGTGTTAACATATTTGTTGACATGGAAAGATATTTATAATATATAAAGAAGGTTGATTATAAAACTGCACAGTATGAGCAGTTTTTAAAAAATCGGTATATATAGATAGAGCAAAATGTTAATTGTGGATCATGGTTGTCACCCTTGGCTACCCTTAGAATCCACTGCAAAGCTCTTTTTGTTTTGTTTTTTTTTTAAAGATTTTATTTATTTATTTATGTGACAGAGACACAGCGAGAGAGGGAACACAAGCAGGGGGAGAGGGAGAAGCAGGCTTCCCGCGGAGCAGGGAGCCCGTTGTGGAGCTCGATCCCAGGACCCTGGGATCATGACCTGAGCCAAAGGCAGACACTTAAGGACTGAGCCACCTAGGCGCCCCTCCATTGCAGAGCTCTTAAACGTCCTAGTGCCCAGGCCATACCTCATACTAACTATAAATAAGACTCTCTTGGGGATGGTACCAGGCATCAATAGGTTTTTTAAAGCTCCCTTGGTGATTTCAGTATGCATACTAGCTTGAGAACCACTGCTTATGTGGTAGAAAGATAGGCCTTTTTATTTGTTTATTTTATGTTTTTGAAATTCTAGTATAATGGACATTTACTACCCAAGTGATTTTTTTTTGAAGTGTAAATTTCAAGATACCAGAAAATCCTTGTTACTAGTTTTTAAAAGTTGTAGTAATTTATTCATAAATCAGGATTATTTTCCCTGTTGTCATTGAATTAGATATTAGTGTATTTTACAATTATATTTCAAGTCTACGAGTTACATACACCTTTAGAGTGTATATCTATATCTTTTAAAAAAAAATCAGTACTAGAACTTTAAAATTATTGAAGCCTTTTTTTAAATTTTAAACATCTTAATTATAAATAACCAGAGCAGCCAACTTCTCTTTTTCATACTGCATCATTTTTTTTCTTCCTCTAGGAGCTCCAGCGGGCTAAGCAAGAAGTCCTCTCTTTGCGGAGAGAGAATTCTACACTAGATGCCGAATGCCACGAAAAAGAAAAGCATATTAATCAGCTACAAACAAAAGTGGCTGTTTTAGAACAGGAAATCAAGGATAAGGACCAGCTTGTTTTAAGAACAAAAGAAGCATTTGATACAATCCAGGAACAAAAGGTCTATTTAAACATTTTTTTTAAAAAATTGGTGATCACATTTACAAGTGATGCTTTTCTTAAACACAAACATCCTATTAACTATTCATATTTAAAAAAATATGTATCAGGTTGCCTTAGAAGAGAATGGTGAGAAAAATCAGGTACAACTAGGAAAACTTGAAGCTACGATCAAATCATTATCAGCGGAACTTCTTAAGGTTTGTTTTTAAAAATAATAGAATATTAAATTTCATTAGGGTAAGAAAGAGATACAAATAAAGCTCTTTTACAGGCAAATGAAATTATCAAGAAGTTACAGGGGGATCTGAAAACTTTAATGGGTAAATTGAAACTGAAGAATACAGTAACTATTCAGCAAGAGAAACTCTTGGCTGAGAAGGAAGACAAATTACAAAAGGAACAAAAGGAATTACAAGATGTTGGACAGTCTCTCCGAATTAAAGAGCAAGAGGTAGTGAATATTTTATATTTTTGCGTGTGTGACTATTTGCAAAGTATAACAAATTTTCTCAGATGTATTTTTAAAATTTCTACTTTATTAGAGAAGAGCTTTCACTTTTTCCCCCCAAAAAGAACATGACTAGCTTCAACAGAAGTTAACCTATTTCAATTTGAAAAGTTAGTTATCATGACTCAGATACCTTGAGTGTTCATATATATGTACAGTATATGTGTATATACATGTATACATATACAGTGTTACATAGATGAGCTATAATTCATTTATTTAATAGTAGTTAATAGTAATTATTTAATTAATAGAAATACATTTAAGTATTTAGCCTTTATTATACTTATGATGAGGATTGACATTGCAGGTGTGCAAATTACAAGAACAGTTAGAAGCTACTGTTCAAAAGCTTGAAGAAAGCAAACAACTTCTAAAAAATAATGAAAAGTGTAAGTATTTTACCTTTTTATGTAAATGAGGTTTGCAATTGTGTTCTTAATCTGAAAATTTTATTTGAATTCATGAAAGTTTGGGTAAATCAAGATATTGCTACATCCAAATAATTTCGGTTTTAAATATATGGTCTTCATGTCTTTGCTATAGTAACTTGTATATCAACTGCCCTGTAAAACAGTTACCATTATAAAGAAAACCATATTACATGTGTCAGTAACCCAAAATTAAGTGTTGAAAATATTGACAGTAGTTTAAATTCTTTGCTAATTAAAGTTCTTCACTACTTATTTTAATTGCTGTGTTTATCTAATAGTAATAACATGAATTATTTGAAACTAAAATATAAGATTAAACCTTTAACATTTTCTCAGTTTTTGTATTGGTTATCAGATAAGAGTGTGAACTTCAAATAAACTGTAAGATATCATTCTAGAAATGAAAGCCTTCAAAGAGATCCTTGACTAGCAGAAATACGTTTTGTTTTGTTTTGTTTTTTGAAAGATTTTATTTATTTATTTGACAGAGAGAGAAAGACTGCTAGAGGGAACACAAGCAGTGGGAGTGGGAGAGGGAGAAGCAGGCTTCCCGCCGGGCAGGGAGCCCAATGTGGGGCTCGATCCCAGGATCCCAGGTTCATGACCTGAGCCAAAGGCAGACACTTAACCGACTGAGCCACCCCGGTGCCCCAGAAATATATGCTTCTGATAGTAATAGCATAAGGAGTTCTATGTGGCGGTTGTTAAAATAAGAATCTTTAATGGCAAAAATTTAGGTGAACCTATATTCTCCTGTGATATAAGGTAGTTTTAAAGACTTAAAATTTTGGGGCACCTGGGTGGCTCAGTCGTTAAGCGTCTGCCTTTGGCTCAGGTCATGATCCTGGGGTCCTGGGATCGAGCCCCGCATCGGGCTCCCTGCTCTGCGGGAAGCCTGCTTCTCCCTCTCCCACTCCCCCTGCTTGTGTTCCTGCCCTTGCTATCTCTCTCTCTCTCTCTCTGTCAAATAAATAAGTAAAATCTTTAAAAAAATAAAGACAAAAATTTTTAAATCTCAATATAATTTTTAAATGTTTAAAGTTATTAGAAAAATAAAAATAGTCAAAATTCTTTACCTTGTTTTGTTTTATTTAAGTAATCACATGGCTAAATAAAGAACTAAATGAAAATCAGCTAGTGAGAAAGCAAGATGTATTGGGACCTTCTACCACTCCACCTGTACATTCTAGCAGCAACATAATCAGAAGTGGGATTTCTCCTAACTCTAATGTGGTAAGTTTTAAATTAAGATGTGAGTGGTCTGAGTAAATTACCTAAAACCAAAATATTCCCAGACTATGAGGAAGTCTCCATGACTTCAGGTGCTGGTACTAATATGACTTGAGTGAGGTAAAGGTTAAGTCCCACTTAGAAGTGAGACATACAGATATACTTGCTCCTAACAAAGAGGCTGTATTTCAAAAGCACACTGCTTAAAATTTTATTGGATGTATATGTTAACTAACTAGATTTTAAATAAAAATTTGAAATAAAAATATGAAAAAATTTAATTGGATATAGAAATCATTCAGTAATAACTAAAGTAATGCCAAATGTGCTGAAGAAGGAAGTATTCTGGGAGCCTTAAGAAGGGAGAATAAAGTTTGGGCTCAAGTTTGGAACTATGATAGGAGCCTAAACTGAATTCTATTTGAGAAAGAAAAAAAAAAAAAAAAGAGAAATGTCCTTTTATCAGTCAGCTCTAGATTCTAGAAGGAATTAGTTATGATATCTAAGCTCTCTAGCTCCTATGACCAGGGCTTTTGCTTTCTCCTTGCAAGAAATTAGGAGAAAATGAAGAGCAGCTCCTTACATATGGGAGCTGGCTTGGTACTATCAGCAAGGCCCTGGTATTGCTAGGAGAGCTAGCCTGGTACTCACAGCTAGGCTTTGGGGCTCTCCTGTTGAACATAACTAATTTCACAGAATATCAACATCAGGCAAGGCCACTCTGTGACTGTGACAGATCAAGAAAAAAATAAGACCACCTCATAATCATTTCTGAACACAATTTTGAAAAAATGAACATTGCCAAACCACAAAACGGGCAGGCATCCTCCTATCCTGGCTAACATGACTGACTGCTCCTTCTTTACCAATTACAGTTTTGGCCTTAATACATTCCTCCCGGGGCACCTGGGTGGCTCAGTTGGTTGGGCGACTGCCTTCGACTCAGGTCATGATACTGGAGTCCCAGGATCGAGTCCCGCATCGGGCTCCCTGCTCGGCGGGGAGTCTGCTTCTCCCTCTGACCTCCCCTCTCTCATGCTCTCTCTCTCAAATAAATAAATAAATAAATAAATTTAAAAAAAAATACATTCCTCCCGACTTACCTAATTATGAAATAATCTAAGATTTATTTCAGATATTCAGTCATACAATTATCCCCATTTCCAGATAGCATCTGACCCACAACAAAGCCACACTTTATTAAACTGTCTCTTAAACCACCTAATACATATATGTCCAGTAAATAAGTCCCTTTTAACACCTGCATACTGCCACACCCCTCTTACTAGGTTTCCCACAGTATGCAGTCTCCATTGTTTGCAAGGAGCAGTAAATCCACAGTGTACACCTATAGGTATGTTTCTGGTAGTTTTTGATTGAAGAGCATTGGCAGAGGATTTAAAATGCAAATACCTAATTGAATTTTAAATCTATCCTACTAATTCAGATTGTACTTGATGTTTAAAAAAAGGAATAGATTTTTGCTAAATTGCAAAAAGGTGTGGAAAGAAATGCCCAGTACTGAATTACAAACTTGAAAAATTTGACAAGCTTAACCTTAATGACTTATGATAAATAGCTATGTAGAAGGTGTTTTTTGTTATGCAGCCAGTGATGTATACAATTGCTTCTTAAGGTTTGTGTTTCAGTTGTTCTCTTATAAACTCTTTTCATGGTATTTGTTAATGGTGGTGCCACCATATTGAAAATTAGTGGCAAAGCAAATTATTGTATGAATTAGTCCATTTAAGAACACATATCTTGGGGCGCCTGGGCTCAGTCGTTATGCATCTGCCTTCGGCTTGGGTCATAATCCCAGGGTCCTAGGATCAAGCCCCCCGTCGGGATCCCTGCTCAGCGGGAAGCCTGCTTCTCCTTCTCGCACTCCGCCTGCTTGTGTTCCTGCTCTCACTGTCTCTCTCTCTGTCAAATAAATAAATAAAATCTTTTTTTTTTTTTTTAGATTTATTTATTTGACAGACACAGTGAGAGAGGGAACACAAGCAGGGGGAGTAGGAGAGGGAAAAGCAGGCTTCCCACTGAGCAGGGAGCCCGACGTGGGGCTCGATCCCAGGACCCTGGGATCATGACTGGAGCTGAAGCAGATGCTTAACGACTCAGCCACCCAGGTGCCCCTAAATAAATAAAATCTTAAAAAACAAAACAAAACACATGTCTTGTTCTCATTCTGGCAGAAAATTATTTTTATATCTGATTGGCTTACTGATCTATGACTCCATCCTTCCCCCAGCCCCCTTTTCAGGAATGGAAGACATACATACGTATAGGGAACCAAGATGGTTCAAAGAGGTCATTGTTTAAACTCAGTTCAAAGACAAGTCCAGTGGCTTATTTTGTTAAGCTTGCACAGCCACTCTTTAGAAAGCTTAAAGTTATCCTAGCCTCATGCTATTATAATAAAGCAGAGTTTTGTGGTGTCATGATAAAATTGGCCTCTAAGATAGTGCTTTTAAGTATTATAACAGATGCTAGTGCCTCGTGGATCAGTAAATACTATTTAGAATTAATATCTCATCCTTAACCTTTTTATGTTTTCATTTTTAGGTTGATGGTAGACTGACTTACCCAACTTGTGGGATTGGTTATCCTGTCTCCTCTGCATTTGCATTCCAGAATACCTTTCCTCATCCTATATCTACCAAAAATACCATCCACCCAATTTCAGGACCAAAGGTAGACAAATTAACTAATACTTTTTTGGGGGAAAATGTAGCAACTTATTAACAAACAAATATTTTTTTATTTTAAATTTTAGTCTTTAGTCAGTTGCTATTAGGTAATAGATAAATATATTACCAAATATCTAGTTTATGCTTACAGGAAATTCTTTCTGTACTATATGGTATTTCTTGAGTGAGTATAATTTATAAAAAGCTGGACATCAGTCTGCTTAAATTTTATTTATTCCCATTCAACCTCTTATTCCATTTTTATTCATTCTCTATTACAACTCTCAAACCTGACTAGCATTACTGACTTCATACTGCTGATGTATTAGCTCTGGTGATATTTTTGGATTCTGTTGCCAGGATTTAAAGATCTGATAAGGCAGACTTATAGCATATTCTAAAATGTAGTTTTGGTGATATTATCTTAAATAGCATAGGCCTAGCATTTCATCCAATGTGATTTATTTACTAAGGCTTTTTTTTTTACCCCCTTGAGGAGTTCATCATCATTCTTATTACTAATGTCTTAGGGGTATATATTGTTTTCACATGTATTATAATTTTACTTTCACAATAATTTCATCCACCCAGACTGCCACTGATTCTATTTTCAGTCCTAACTTTAGGTGAAAATTGATTTTTTTGGGGTGCCTGGGTGGCTCAGTCAGTTAAGCATCTGCCTTCAGTTCAGGTCATGGTTCCAGGGTCCTGGGATTGAGCCCCGCATTGGGCTCCCTGCTCATTGGGGAGTCTGCTTCTCCCTCTCCCCCGCCCATCCCCTGCTTGTGCTTTCTCTCACTATCTCTCTCTCTCTCAAATAAATAAATAAAATCTTTAAAAAAAAAAAAGAAAATTGATTTTTTTTGTAAATCATAGAGACAAATGTTTTTGAAAAGAATTTTTTTTTAAGATTATTTTAGAGCGAGAACATGCACACAGGAGGGGAGGGGCAGAGGGAGAGGGAGAGAATCTGACTGCCCCCTGAGCATGGAGCCTGATGTCGGGCTCAATCTGACGACCCTGAGAACATGACCTGAGCTGAAATCAAGAATCAGATGCTTAACTGACTCAGCCATCCAGGCGTCCCTGAAAAGAATATTTTGAACTGAGGACTTTGAAATTGCTATTATAAACCCTTTATCAAATTAGTTTTGGGCTTCCTGAAAAATAAGCTGGCTGTGTTGCTTAGGCCTGTGCTTCTTCTTAACTCTTTAAGACTTTAACTATCATCTGAAGCTATTGATTATTCTCAGTGAAATGAGTTTTTATGCTTAGACTATCATTATGTAAAGAGTATTTAGGTACATTTAGCAGGCTTTTCTTGAATTGTTTGTTAAAGAGCATTAGATATGTATATTCACAGGAGTACTATTTTTTTTTTTACAGTGTTACCTAACTCTTATACTGTTAACTTTATTTGTCCATATTTTATTTTAAAATTTAAATTCCAGTATAATTAACATACAGTATTATATTAATTTCAGGTATACAATGTAGTGATTCAACAGTTATATATATTATTCAATATTCATCAAGATAAGTGTACACTTAATACCCTTCACTGATTTCACCCATTCCCTCACCCACCTCCCCTCTGGTAACCGTCATTTTGTCTTCTATAGTTTGTTTTTTGGTTTGTCTCTTTTTTTTCCCTTTGTTTTGTTTTGTTTTGTTTCTTAAATTCCACATGTGAGTGAAATCATGTGGTATTTGTTTTTCTTTGACTGACTTATTTCACATACTGTTATACCCTTACCTTCATCCATATTGTTGCAAATGGCAAGATTTCTTTCTTTTTTTTTATGTCTGGGCAGTATTACATTGTATATATATATCACGTCTTCTTGATCCATTCATCTATCAGTGGACACTTGGGCTGCTTCCAGAATTTGGCTATGATAAATAATGCTGCTATAAACGGGGGTATATATATCTTTTCAAATTAGTGTTTTCATATTCTTTGGGTAAATACCCAGTAGTGAAATTACTGGATCATATGGTATTCTATTTTTAATTTTTTGAGCAACCTCCATACTCTTTTACACAGTGGTTGCATCAGTTTGCATTCGCACCAACTGTGTGTGAGGGGTCCTTTTTCTCCACATCCTTGCCAACACTTCTTTCTTGAATACTATGTTCCTTAATATCAATATCAATATACTCAAATGTGATTGCATCTTGGGATCAATTTTTTTCTTGAGAATTTTGATTGAATTGCTTTTTCATTTTATTTTTAAGTTTTTAATTCCAGTTAGTTAATGTGCAGTATTATTAGTTTTAGGTATAAAATATAATAATTTAGCAGTTCTGTACATCACCTGGTGCTCATCACAAGTGCACTCCTTAATCCCCATCAACTATAGGATTTTTTTTTTTTTTAAAGATTTTATTATTTGACATAGAGAGAGAGACAGAGTGAGCACAAGCAGGGGGAGTGGCAGGCAGAGGCAGAGGGAGAAGCAGGCTCCCCACAGAGAAGGGGGAGCCCGATGTGGGACTCGATCCCAGGACTCCGGGATCATGACCTGAGCTGAAGGCGGTCGCTTAACCAACTGAGCCACCCAGGCGCCCAATCCCCATCAACTATTTAACCCATCTCCCCACCTCTCTCCCTTCTGGTAACCATCAGATTGTTCTCTATAATTAAAAGTCTGTTTCTTACTTTGACACACACACACTCACTTTTTTCTTTGCTTGTTCTGTTTCTTAAATTCCACATATGAGTGAAATCATATGGTATTTGTCTTTCTCTGCCTGACATATATTTCACTTAGCATTATATTTTCTAGCTCCATCCATGTCGTCGCAAATGGCAAGATTTCATTCTTTTTATGGCTGAATACTATTCCATTGTGATATATACCACATCTTTTTCCATTCGTCAACTCATGGATACTTGGACTGTTTCCCTATCTTGACTATTATAAATAATGCTGCTGTAAACATAGGGATGCATGTATTCCTTTGAATAAGTGTTTTTGTATTCGTTGGGTAAATATCCAGTAGTACAATTGCTGGATCATAAGGTAGTTTTTTGTTTGTTTGTTTGTTTTTAAGATTTTATTTATTTATTTGATAGAGAGATAGAGAGCACAAGTAGGCAGAGAGAGAGGGAGAAGCAGATTCTCCACTGAGCAGGGAGCCTGACGCGGGGCTCGATCCCAGGACCCTGGGATCATGACCTGAGCCGAAGGCAGCCGCTTAACTGACTGAGCCACCCAGGCGCCCCCATAAGGTAGTTTTTTTTAACTTTTTGAGGAACCTCCACACTGTTTTTCAAATTGTTTTTTTTATTTCAAACAGCTTTCCAGGAATATATATAATGTCCAAAGTGAGCACAAGAAATACTACACATACTTTCCAGATAGTTACCTCGTTTATAGGTCTAAATATGACTTAAAAGATTACCTTTATAGTTCTTCAAGAATTGGAGGAATCGTTATAGCAAGGATATTCCTAAACATAGCAAGACTTTCAGGGTTTCCTATATCACTGATCTCCATATCCTTTTGATTATGTATCCCCAAAAATAAAAAAAAACAAAACAAAAGAAAACATAAAACAAAACACGTTGAGCTTGAATCTCTTATGAATATTTATTTGTGAATTGTATGCATATACTATTCACTACTGTATTATGTACAGTATAGTTTAGCGGTTAAGAAGGTGGAAACTGATGTTGGAGTTTAAATGCTGCCTTTATCAAGGGGAATTGGGCCAGCCACTGAAATACAAACAAAAAAGAAATCCAAAATCCAAAAATATTTGAAGTGTATACAGGGATGTATATATGTGTGTACCTCTGTATGTATGTTTGTATAATAAGAGTTTGTGTATTTAAGCAAAAATAGTACATGCCTAGTGTTCTGTGCCTTATTTCATTCAACAGTATTATGGAATAGGTCCATCTCCATGTATCAGAATGTTTTTGGGTTTTTTGGTTTTGTTTTTTTTTTTTTAAAGATTTTATTTATTTATTTGAGACAGAGAGAATGAGAGACAGAGAGCATGAGAGGGAGGAGGGTCAGAGGGAGAAGCAGACTCCCTGCTGAGCAGGGAGCCCGATGCGGGACTCAATCCCGGGACTCCAGGATCATGACCTGAGCCGAAGGCAGTCGCTTAACCAACTGAGCCACTCAGGCGCCCAGAATGTTTTTGTTATTTAATGATTTCTTTGTATATGGATGCGCTATAATTACTGCTGTGTTAATGGATGATCAGGTTGTTTTCCATCTAGGTATTCATACAGTGCTTTGGCAATTATATAATGGATTCATAACTCAGTAAGACAAAGAACCTAATTTAAAAATGGGAAAAAGAGGGGTGCCTGGGTGGTTCAGTCAGTTAAGCATCTGCTTTTGGCTCAGGTCATGATCTCAGGGTCCTGGGATTGAACCCTGCATAGGGCTCCCTGCTGGGCGGAGAGTCTGCTTCTCCCTCTCCCTCTGCCACTCACCCTGCTTGTGCTTCCCCTCTCTCTCTCTCTATCTTTCTCTCTCTCTTTGTGTCAAATAAATAAGTAAATAAAGTTTTTTTTTTTTTTTAAATCCATGTAAATGTAATAGGAAAGATGAGAAAGTAGTGTTTTTGCTTCTAAGGTCTAGAAGAATGGAAGTATCCACTCATTTAGCATTGTGGAGCCAAAGTTATCTTTGACAAGTTGGCATTGTGGAAGAGGTGATAAAACCAACTCTTGGTAAAATGAAGTACGAATAGACATATACACAAAAATAAATTCCAGGGGCACCTGCCTGGCTCAGTCAGTAGAGTGTGCAGCTCTTGATCTCGGGGTAGTGAGTTTGAGCCCTATATTGGGCGTAGAGATTACATAAAAAAAAAAAAAAAAAAAAAAAAAAAATCCCAGGTAGGTTAAAGATTGACATTTAAAAAGCAAAACTTTATGACCTTACAATTATTTCAAATAAGATACAAAAAAATACAAATGAACTGTTAAAAAATGGATAATTTGGGGTACATTTAAATGAAAAAATACCTGTATATCAA